ATTTCTTGAGGAACATTGTGAAACTCGAGTGAATGGTTGTGCTACTATTGATGTTTTCTATGTAACTGTCTTATTGAATATGTGTCAGATAATCAGAACAGTTAATGAGAATAAAATTGGGAGATTCGTTTCATTTTGGATAGGTTTAGTGAGCACGTGATGTTGTCGATCGGAATACTTGAAACATATAAGTGTTTTATGATCATCCATTGAGCATGATTTGCTTGGAATGTTTTGATGGGAAATTATTGCTCAAGGTTATCATAAATCTGATTCATATATTAAGTGAACTATTCTCTTAATTATAATAAATGGAATGAATAATATCGTGTGGTAAAAAACAAAAGTCTTGAGGACTATAATTTACTAACTGATTTACTCGTTACTTATGTTTAGTGTTTGAAAAATAAAACTTAATCTATGTAAATGGATGACTTCATTTGAATGTAAAATTAGAAAGGTATTCATGTACAATATACTTGATTCTATGATTTATTGTTTGTTTGTTTGTTTGTTTGTTTGTGTGTTTGTTGGTAAGATATATGTTTGTCTCATTTGTTTGAATAAATTGTTCTGCCAGGTATAATGGGAATACACTATAGTATATAATTTAGAATTTCAAATAAAACTATTAGCTGTGGAATAATTTTTATGAAGAGAATGACCAGTTAAGTGATTAACAGAGCTTCAAAAACAGTTAGTCATCTATAAGCAACATATAATCTAAAACAGTATTGCACCATTTCACATCATACTTCATCAACACAGGTAGGTGAAATTATCACGATCAATATCAAAGTAGAGTTGGTGGGAGTAAAAAAAATGAAATTAATGTATGGAATAAGCTGACGATTTGGAATGTTTGGGTAGAAAAAAAATATCACATACATTTACTCGATTGAGACTGGTTCTCAGCTATATCATTCAACTACTAGTCGCTGATAGTGCATTGGCATGTGGATGTGCATTTGCATAAGCGTGTGAGTCTGTGTGGATTGCGTATTGATTGTGTATAGTATTAGTGAGCCCATTCAACTATGTTATTATTTGTTTACTCAGTGTAATTTAGACACCTAATCTCCTATGTAAACCTCTGTGTGAATCTGATTGTACGCGTGTCTGCACATCAATCTTGAATGTATTCTCCCATTGGTTATAACACACAGGTAATCAATAATTCATTCATAATCGATTAACACTCATCACTATATATGTATATATGAATTTGAAACACTCATAGTCGCCGTGTGTTTGCTTCGTTGAGGCTTGTGGATTATTTATTGGTGATGTTTAATAATAAAGTATATCTATAACTGGTGTTGTTCAAGCTTTTGATATATAATCATCTGGAGTGAATTGATAATTCTACTAGAAGATTTAGCCTGCATTAAATACTAATTTAACGGGATAATATTATTTACTATTATTTATTGGAGTCAGATATAAAGGAGATGATAAGCTTGAACAAAGTTGGTTGATGAGCAGTAGCCACATTTAGAAAATGCACCATGTTTTGTCTTCAAATGTGCATATTTAAAGCCAAAGTGACAGTTTTGTTATTCGGTGAGTCTCATATATATTTGTTGTTGTTATTTGTTAATTCCTCATATTGTATATTTCAATGCTTAGCTTATTGTTATTGCTGTAGTTATTGTTTCTTCGTAACATGTTATATGATAATTAACTAGACCATTATTCTAAGTGTATTTGGTGTGTGCCGTGTGATCTGATTGCATGTTGATAGTGCACTGGCATGTGTATGTGCATATGCATAAGCGTGTGTGTCTGTGTGGATTGCGTATTGTATTGTATCGTATTGCATTGTGTATAGTTTTAGTGAGCACATTTGACTATTCACTGTAATTTAGACACTTAATCTACTATGTAAACGTTTGTGTGAATCTGATTGTACCAATTAGATTCCCGTAGGTCAATATCAGGAGACAGATGATGCACAAGCGTGTGTGTCTTTGTGGATTGCGTATTGTATTGTATTGTATTGTATTGTATTGTATTGTATTGTATTGTATTGTATTGTATTGTATTGTACTGTATTGTATGATATTGTGTATATTGTATAGTTTATAGTGTGTGGTGTGTAGTGTGTAGTGAGTATGGAGTAGTGTTGTCCGGAATAGTGTAGAGTATTTGAATGAAGGTGAGATGGAATGTTGATATTGATGAATTAGTTTTGTGCAGTTCCTATTTATTTATTTATTATTTATTTGAACACATAAATATTGGTACAGCGGGGCACCAAATATATATGCGCCACACAAAACAATGATAATTTGAAGAGGAGAAAAGAGAAAAAAAGTAATGAACGTGGGGAATTAGAAAAAAAAAAGAGAGAGAGAACAATGGTGGGGGAAATGGAAAGGTACAATCAGAAGAGATCTTTCAGTTAAGGAAGATACAACCACTTTTTATGAAGAAAGTAAAAGAAGGTTACAGCAGGATCGCCACTGGCTTCTATTCTGAGCCATATCTGATAACGTCTCTAGCCACTGCGATTCGGTGGCAACATACAATTTTCAACCAGGCAGTGACTCGAGAACGTTTAGATAAAGCTGAATTTTTACCATAGGCGAGCTGCTGTCTGAGTCGAAACGGATACAAAAAGTAGAAATAGGAGATAGTGAATAAATGACGCAGTAAATAATAATAATAATAGTACCAGTCATTTCAATGTTAGTCGGAGAGAAACGAATATTTTCCATAAGCAGATAGTTCATCATGGTTTTAGTGTGTGGGCTGAGATACGGCCCGGAAGTACAAACCGAAGCAGTTCCTATGAATTTTTGTTTGTTTAAGTGTTGTAAGGCGTTGAATCTCTGCTCCAGTGTGAAATGGGTGTCAGATCGAGACCCATCGAAGCAGGATGTTTACAAAGAATACGTTAAGCTATTTGAATATTGAATATGAAAGCTAGTAGTATGGTGCTGGGGGATAAGTCTGTAGTGACCTACTTTTGTCAACAGAACGCGATTGGTTCGATGAAAACAATTATTATTATAACCAATTGTACCAGTGACTGTTTTACTGTGCTCGTTTGTTTAATTATGCTAATGACAGCCATTACACTTCCTCTCCCGTTGACTTTGAATTCGGTTACGCTCAGTAACCACGTTTGTACTCCGTGTCGCCTGAGCACTTGGTCCAATTCACAACACCGACCAGTGACAGTGCCTTTCCTAGTCCCACTCACAGACAACATGTTCTCACTTTATAGTAGTACTGTGATGTATGGTGATGAGTGGAGTGATTAAGTGAGACAGACAGTGGGTGAATAAGTGAGTGAATGGGTGAGTGAGTGAGTGAGTGAGTGAGTGAGTGAGTGAGTGAGTGAGTAATTGAGTGAATGAGAAGGAGGTGGTTTCCATGAGGTGTTGTAACCGTGTGATCTGATTCCATGTTGATAGTGCATTAGCATGTGGATGTGCAAATCTAAAATAAATGGATAAACACATATATAAACTATTATTATCGAATAAAATACTGCTATGAGGCATGATAATAATAATAAGAAAATCAATAATAAAAATAATGTTTACTGGTATGAAGTTATTTTACGAAAATACCTTGGTATCGTCAAGAGAGTGGAAAGAGTCAGCTCTCCTTCTCGAAACGCTTCACATATGACCACGCGTACATAATCATTGTTAGCCATAAACAGTTATACCCATTATAAGTATAATCGTTTTGTAATGAAGTGACATATTATTACGTAACGTATTTGAGATTTGTGTGAGTAACAATCGACGTTGATAGTCGTTTCCGTCCGCTTTCTGAACGTATACAGGAACAGTATATAAGACCACTGGAAGTGCCACGTTAAGTAGTCACAAAGACTCCATAAGTAAAGCGATGTGTGTTTCTTTTGAGCATGGTGACAAAACTATGTACCAGTTAATACTGATTTATGATGCGTCTGTTATAGTGTTCACGAATAAGTTTCTTTAAACAAAATCGGCCGTCACTGACCAAATTATGGACAAAGTTATATAAGAAACTTATGGGTTAGTCGTCACGTGCTAGTGAAGTCATATATATAGTGAAATCAGAGTTTTAAGGCAATATGATCTGTGAAATCACTAATATTTCATTTGAATCATAATCTTGGTATAAAAAAATGTCATAAGACTGTGGAGCGTTCACAGCTATATGATGTGACGTATATGTTTTGCAGATTACCGATGAATTTCTATTAACGGAATCCGAAATGTGATGAATAACATTGTTTGCAAATAAGAGACTAATAGGTACATTCTGTTACCTGCGAATTGATTAACTTATTCGATTTGATACTGCTAACTAAGTTTAATTGTATGTTTCAAGACTGATTTTTTGTTTTTCAGAATTGTATGAAGCTATTAAGGTCCTCAAAGCATTGTGATAATGTTTACGCCGGTATACAACAAATGGAATTTGTGATTATGGATGATCATGTGGAAGTCTACTAGAGCAAAAAAATGAAACATGAGTAATAGTTTTTGGAACGGAGGGACAAAAATTCACCGGGAAAATGAAACAACTACACAATAATATACAATGAATTGTTATCTGAAAATAGTAATCACACTGATTCTTTTGCATTAGTTGTCTTAATATTCACATTGATGTTTAGGATTGCAATCGATCAGTCTGTTATGGCATATGCGCATCCTGTGTGGTGTGGATTATCTCGATATTACCATTAATTCGTAAATATAAATATAATGAGCAAATATGGATATTGGTTATCAGTGAGATCCAGGACGCACACTTCGTCTCATGTGAGACTCGTCAGCTGGATGTATCTGAATCCCAGAGTTGATGTACACTCCCTCCGGGACCGGAATTATTCTTCTGTGTACTTTCATTTGTAATCTGCGAAAAACACATATATATCAACTTACAGTTTCATCTGCATCCAACTGATTCCAAGCTGGATTCATACGACTCACTCGACTACTTAAACATGTATTCATAGAATATCTAGAATTCGAAATTATTAAATATCAATTTAAAAATTCAAACAACTTTAAAGGTGTTGTTGCCATTGAAACACCATTGTCGATGGCGTCTATCTCAACAATAAATGAACTATACATCTATAATAACATAAATAAAAGGGAGAAAAGGTTTTGTCAAATTCTGATTCTGAGGGAAGAAAATTGCATCCAGAAATAATCAATTTTCTAATGTATAAAAACCTACCTTATCAAAAAGTGCCGTCACCAATGGATCCATAGTATTTTCATCTCTACCAAGTATACAACTTAGTATTTTTCGACCGAAATGAACGTATATCAAACCTGCACTACTTAATTTTATATCCCAATCAGAATTTGGATGAAAATCTTTATAAGTAAGATTGAATTCTCTACAAAATGTAAAATTTGAAGAAAAGAGGAAAAAAGCTGAATTAATTCTAACCAATTATAATACTAACCTTTGATGATGGTCGTATAAATGATTTTCAGCATTGAATACACCACCAACGTCAACGACGATATCACACGTTGACAAAATACTTGAATCTCTCGTGCGTATAATCTCAGCATTTGAGTATTCCGGTAAATGTTTGAGCATTGCACATGCAAGTATTTCATCTGAATGCAATCGTCCATCATGTGTACCAATACGCAGTTTTGAATTAGTTGCCATTGATAATAACGAAATATTGTTAGCTAAATGAAGGACGAAAACAACACAGTATGATTATTGACTGAAAGGATTGATTGAGTAAAGCTCAATTATATTTAGGTCGACTGATTTTCTGAGTGACATATTGGTGTACTTGGTTTATAGCCACATTACAAGTGTGACAAGCAGTTATGTGACATTGCAGTGTATTTTTCGAGTATGAGATTTAATGGTTAAAAGGTGAACGTTTTAACTACATAGCTACTACTCCGATTATATAATAGGTTCATGTTGTCGAAAATATTCACAAATATACACTGCCATGTGGCATAACTGCCTGTCACACTTGTGATGTTGCTATAAACCAAGTACACCAATATGTCACTCAGAAAATCAGTCGACCTAAATATAATTGAGCTGAAATACTTGCATGTGCAATGCTCAAACATTTACCGGAATACTCAAATGCTGAGATTATACGCACGAGAGATTCAAGTGTTTTGTCAACGTGTGATATCGTCGTTGATGTTGGTGGTGTATTCGATGCTGAAAATCATTTATACGACCATCATCAAAGGTTAGTATTATAATTGGTTAGAATTAATTCAGCTTTTTTCCTCTTTTCTTCAAATTTTACTTTTTGTAGAGAATTCAATCTTACTTATAAAGATTTTCATCCAAATTCTGATTGGGATATAAAATTAAGTAGTGCAGGTTTGATATACGTTCATTTCGGTCGAAAAATACTAAGTTGTATACTTGGTAGAGATGAAAATACTATGGATCCATTGGTGACGGCACTTTTTGATAAGGTAGGTTTTTATACATTAGAAAATTGATTATTTCTGGATGCAATTTTCTTCCCTCAGAATCAGAATTTGACAAAACCTTTTCTCCCTTTTATTTATGTTATTATAGATGTATAGTTCATTTATTGTTGAGATAGACGCCATCGACAATGGTGTTCCAATGGCAACAACACCTTTAAAGTTGTTTGAATTTTTAAATTGATATTTAATAATTTCGAATTCTAGATATTCTATGAATACATGTTTAAGTAGTCGAGTGAGTCGTATGAATCCAGCTTGGAATCAGTTGGATGCAGATGAAACTGTAAGTTGATATATATGTGTTTTTCGCAGATTACAAATGAAAGTACACAGAAGAATAATTCCGGTCCCGGAGGGAGTGTACATCAACTCTGGGATTCAGATACATCCAGCTGACGAGTCTCACATGAGACGAAGTGTGCGTCCTGGATCTCACTGATAACCAATATCCATATTTGCTCATTATATTTATATTTACGAATTAATGGTAATATCGAGATAATCCACACCACACAGGATGCGCATATGCCATAACAGACTGATCGATTGCAATCCTAAACATCAATGTGAATATTAAGACAACTAATGCAAAAGAATCAGTGTGATTATTATTTTCGGATAACAATTCATTGTATATTATTGTGTAGTTGTTTCATTTTCCCGGTGAATTTTCGTCCGTCCGTTCCATAATATTACTCCTGTTTTTTATTTTTTGCTTCACAGGATAAACGTTAGAGCCGTTTGAAGCTGCCCGCGCTTTCGTTTCAACGACCTTGAACGGCCTGACACGAGGCGGTGATTCCGTATTTCAGTTGGCGTTGGTTTGTTGGGTTGCCAGAGTATCAAGTTTTTTCATATTTAATGCATGTTTTTCGGCATTCAAAAGCACAAAATAACAGCCAAAAGCAATAATTTAGCGTTCTATTTCTTGTAGTGTACACGTTGACTCCGTTGTTGCTTCGTAATTTGATCTGTGGTCCCAACTGCTGTAGTAAACCTCTACGAAATGTCAAATCAGCGGTAAATCTTAAGTATTTGTAGTACTTCCTTGAGTTATTATTGTTTCAAGAAATTATTTTTTTGTAAATAGTGATTTCTGTTTGTAGTGCTTCGTGCTCTAGTGACAATTCAGTCGACATTAGCGATGCCTTTCAAAGTATGATACTGAACAAGCATTTTGCATTACTGGGATGACTTTGATAACGCACTAAAAGAGTTCCAAAAAGTATGGAAGAGTGATTTTATCATTTCTCAGACTACCTACACTCATAACATCCACACGGAAAGCAAGTTGCTAAAGGATGTCAGATTCAAATACCTGTTTGTTGCTTTTCACTGTACATTTGGTCATAAGCGGAAATCGGAAGGTTTGAAAGTGAATCGAAAATCGTGAGAACTTTACCTAATATGTAATGTTTAAGGTCTAAATTCCTTAATTGTCAATCAAAGTTGCGTGTAAGACTGGAGGCTCAAGGATATGTCATCAAATCCTACAAGATGCTCCACAATCATCCATGTAGTAGTTCATGGACGGTTTGTGATCCATGGACGAGAAGATGGTCGTCGGAAGAAAAAGAGCATTTAAAGCCAGTCATTTTGCAGTCTCAGTCAACAGATGAAGTTATAGAATGTGTTGAGGAGAGAACTGGTAAGGTGGTGGTCACCGTTGCTGATGTCAAGACTATGAAAGCTAAACTCTCCACAGGTAAGTGTATAAAAATATATTTCAGGTTGTTGTACTCGAAAGCAGGTTATGGATTTGCTGCGACAGAAAAATGAAGTTAGGGAACATTTAGAAAATGGATATGTAACGAGAATATATTTCAGTAGTTATGACCAAATACACTTGTACAATGAATATCCGGAAGTTGTTTGCATTGATTCTACTTATAATACCAATAATAAGAAGTGATTGTGCTTTTCCTTGTATTGTGTTTTGTAGATATTCCTTATTGCAGTTGGTTGTAACGGATAATTTTGGTCGAGGACGTACTGTAATGTTCGTTTCTGTGGGATATGAAGCCGGCGACTGGTTGTCCATTGTTGAATGCGGGAAGCATTATGGAGTGGATCTAAATACTTGTGAATGTGAATGTAGCACATTTATTATGTGTCGATACCCTTGCCGCCATCTGCTACTGGTATATTTTAAAAGACGAACTCTTACAGGTAAGCTATATTAATTATGAAATATAAACTGTATAGCTCATCAACTTCTTAGGTACTGCAGATGGAAGTTACGTATTACGCATAACCTGCAAAATAACCCATCAATTGCACTACCGACACGAAGAAATGAGTATATAAGTGTTCTACGAAGCCAAAAAATTAACAGGCATCATATCCTATGGAAGTATGGTGAAAGTTTCGCAACGGAAGTTGAGAAGAAAGTGAACAATTATTATTTAAGAATTATCAATAATAACCTGTAAACTTGTTTTTATGCTTCAGCATTAATGATGATTAAATAAAGTATTTCATAATTTTCATTTTCCTCTTATTCCTTCTTTCTTGGGGATGAATACCGATATTGTTGACGAGTCAGTGTCTGTAAGAATTAAGAATGAATAAGTGACGCTATCTCCACGTAAAGTCTTACAGAATAGGCATTCATTATATTTCGTGGTTTGTTCTCAGCTGCTTACAACCAAATGTGCATTACAATTTAACACTGAGGTATGAAGCAGTTGACATAATTGAATATAAAGAATTGGAATAACGTAGGTTATCAATAATATCAATATACATATGTATATATGCAGTAACAGGTCAGAGGTTATTTGTTTTTAGAATGAAGGAAACATTAAGGATGGGTGGTGCAATAATCGAGTAGAGTTCAAAGACAGATAAGTGGTGTGAAAATCTTATAGGTTATAAAGGATCCTTGGATTTAAAAACTGATATGTTGGGTTACGTAGTAACTGAATAGAATCTGAAGCGGATCAAGCGACCCCGGATGAGCGATAGGGTGGTTTAAGAAATCGCTAAATCAATGTAAAAAAAATAAAATGAATTATTGCGTAACCCATCTTATTACTTGTTAATTCCGTGAATTATAATGAATTCATATTACTCTGCATTAATATTTGTTCTGGCATCATATAGACGATTTTTACATACTTACACGATTTATAATGTAAAACACTGAGATTAGTTGTTATATTTACATTTAAATAATTCATTAGGTGAATGAAAATGTCAGTAGGCAATATAGAACACAGTTATGGTAAACTTGTAAACTGGTTTTCCACATGATCATCCATAATCACAAATTCCATTTGTTGTATACCGGCGTAAACATTATCACAATGCTTTGAGGACCTTAATAGCTTCATACAATTCTGAAAAACAAAAAATCAGTCTTGAAACATACAATTAAACTTAGTTAGCAGTATCAAATTCAATAAGTTAATCAATTCGCAGGTAACAGAATGTACCTTTTAGTCTGTTATTTGCAAACAATGTTATTCATCACATTTCGGATTCCGTTAATAGAAATTCATCGGTAATCTGCAAAACATATACGTCACATCATATAGCTGTGAACGCTCCACAGTCTTATGACATTTTTTTATACCAAGATTATGATTCAAATGAAATATTAGTGATTTCACAGATCATATTGCCTTAAAACTCTGATTTCACTAGCACGTGACGACTAACCCATAAGTTTCTTATATAACTTTGTCCATAATTTGGTCAGTGACGGCCGATTTTGTTTAAAGAAACTTATTCGTGAACACTATAACAGACGCATCATAAATCAGTATTAACTGGTACATAGTTTTGTCACCATGCTCAAAAGAAACACACATCGCTTTACTTATGGAGTCTTTGTGACTACTTAACGTGGCACTTTCAGTGGTCTTATATACTGTTCCTGTATACGTTCAGAAAGCGGACGGAAATGACTTTCGACGTCAATTGTTAATAGCTGATAAATAACGACACGAGAAATCCACGACAATATGTTACATGTGCGCGAAAACCAATGGCCTAACGGACTTACTGTGCCTTGTTTTGCTCTAGTAGACTTTTGTTTTCAGAGAAACGCATTTTGTTTGTTTTGTTGCTTTAAAATTGGTTGGATCAATGGTTCTTAAGTTAGTTCTTTGTTTCTTACTACTCATTGGTACAATGTATTTACTACCTTGAAGAGATGTGCCTATTATCATCAACATTCGAACTGTTATTGTTTGTCATTGTAGGTGCGAATCCCGTAACCGTAACTGATCTATCCGGGCATCCAACTTATGATGAATATTAAAAAAAATTGATGAATAGGACGGTAATTAATAGCATATTTTTCATTAGTCAGGATTAATAAAAACCTGTTAATTAGGAAAATCCTATTTAGCTACATTTGTCGTATATTGGTGAACATGTCATTCCAACTTATACATAATATATGATGCACATTGACTTGTCCCTGAATTCTTGTTTATTGTTTATTTAAACAGATAAACATTGTTACATGCGCCACACAAATTCAATGATTTGTGTAAGGGCTAGGACACTGGCCAGGCGGCCGAACCGAAGCAGTTGGTTTCGCTAGCAGGCCACTCTTTGAGTCTTTCACGTAGAGTTCTAATCCACAAGGCAATGGAGCAACGTTAGGAAATGCAGTCCCATGATTGGTTCATACGCCATTCGTTGTCGTTGCCCCAGGATCCTGGAACCCATAAGCACCAGTGGTTTGAAATCACGATTTTCCAATTCCCTTACGTAGATCCTCCATATGCATTAACCCAGTTAAGGCACCGGACATTCGCATTTCATCCTCTGAATTTCGTAAACAACAGTAATGCCGCTAGAAGGCAGTGCGTAGGACTTCACTGACAATGATTATATACGCGTGGACATATGTGAAGCATTTCGAGAAGGAGAGCTGACTCTTCCCACTCTCTTGACGGTACCAAGTATTTTAGTAAAATAACTTCATACCAGTAAACATTATTATTATTATTATCATGACTCATAGCAGTTTTGTTTTATAGGATAATAATACTTTATATATGTGTTTATCCATTTATTTTAGATTTGCTTTCATAATGCATTGCAATTGGTTGATAAAGAGTTTATTACATTAGTTCATTTCTATGCTGATACATGGTATCCAGGTTGTGACATTGTATTAAATGCTGTCAAAAATCGATATTCAATTGATCCATCTGGTACAATAATAATTTATATTGAAGGTACTGGATACTCATGGTGTGCACATTACTTTGAAATTGAAAAATCTTTATTATTAAATAATATGAATGTAAATGAAATTGAGAAAAAAAAATAATCAAATTTTATTGGTTATTTATCAATGTAAAGATAGTACATGGACTATACAATCTATACCATTGAATGAACAGAATAATTTTTCACAAAGGTAAGTTATCATTATTATTATTATTATTATTATTATTATTATTATTATTATTGTGAAATTTGTATGTTACAGCTGTAGTACTCATTAGTAACTAGTCATTCTGTTGTATAATTTCTTAGAGATGGGTAATCATAAACTAACTAACTATTGTGTCATTAGTTGATACACTTTGTTTTACTGTTCATCTATATTGGACTAGTTGTTTTATTGTGTACTTGTCTGTGCTGAGTTCATTGTTAATATTGAGCTTCTTAGCTATAAGTCGAGTTTTTTTTATCTTAAACCAATGATTATTTATTATTAGTATTAGAGGTTTGTACAGATTATTGGACGTCATGTCATATGCCGACCTAATTTAGACATCCACTGCAAACCAAAAAGCACTGAACATATGATTCGTCCTTAGCAGTGTGCATTGACAAACTTGCAGAGGATCAGACTCAGGTCTCGATAGCGAACATTTGACGTGGACCACTGAATTGCAGCTTGATGGTTTGGAGGTGAGGTGGTTGTTGGACTGCCTGATTGTATATTTGTACATTCTACTGTGTTCTCATGTGTACTGTTAGGTTTGAAGCTTAATGAGTTCACTTCAATTGCGAACGTGAACGAGGATTCGGTGACCAAGGTCCAGTGAGCTGGCTAATGACGCGTCCCAGCCCTGCTATCTAGAGAGAGAAGACCAGGCTTGAAATGAGAGAATATTCGGCAATAACCAGCAAACCAGCAAACCATTTTACAAGACAATTTTAAAACGTATATATACAAATATACATATATATATATATATATATATATATATATATATATATATATATATCGATATTGCCATGGAGCTTTTAAACATTTAATCGATAGTTCGTCAATTGACTGCCATTGAAATATTTAAACATTTAATCGATAAATTCGTCAATCAACTATGTGCGTGGGTCGTAAGAAATGCCCACGTATACATCTGCATACAAGCTGCACAAGATAAAATTACAAACTATGAGTTTTGGACGAAATGACACCAATTGTCATTCAGGAATGGCATTAGATAATTTCTGGGGTATTTTCTGAATACCGCAACATGTACACAAAACTCATGACGGTGTTCTACAAATGGCAAGATTAACCATAAAAATGAAAGAAAATCAATAACTTCTGTTCTGTTTTATCATTATCTATTCTTGTCCTGGTTCCTAAAAGGTAAGAAGTACACGTATATACTTTTTAAATCTACTTCTTTTGATTTTTTTTTCAAAGTATGATAGCGAGAGCGGTTTACTAACTGGATGATCGACCTCAAGTATTTGATTGGCACAGTTACTGGTTACTGGTTAAAGCAATTGGCTTTAACTAAGTGTTTCAACCACATTCTGTTTACAATGGCCTAGACAGTCGGATATTATCATTGAAATGCACACAATTCATATGAATTAAATGACGATCGCCTTATCAAAAATCACTTACCAGATACATATTCATGTATTTTACATCAAGACACACTGGCAATGGGCGAGGTAGTGATACTCACCTTGTTGTTCAGACTGAGCAATGTAGGGATTGATCGAAGCCTGTAACTACTAAGCTATCAACCATTAAGGCAAACAAATGAACCTGGAGTTCGTTGTCAAGCTACATTATTCACATGACTAGACGACAAGAACTGGAAAGCTGAAGATCTCAGTTGGGTATTTAAGTTGGCTGTTTCGTTTCACATCGAATTTCGTCAACCTTGTGTATTTTGTTATCTATCCTGGAGTTGAATTTATTGTAAACGCTTTTGTCTTAAAACCACTAAGTTTAGTATCACTGAATTGTATTTATATGAAAACTTGTGTATATCTGTGGATATAATAAAAACTGCAACTTCGTCAATCTCTCACTTGGACCTGTGACATAGTTCTTCAAGTCGGACAATATATGAAACGTGTTCTAATCAGTAGGGTTATTACTATCCTCGTTTATTGTCATAACTACTATTACAAGATGATTCTCAGTCGTAAGCATATATGCAAACAACGTACAAGTGTAAATTGCTTATTTTCAGTTAGGATTTGTGGTTGGATCGAAGCCAAAAGTGTCCATGTGACAGTATTAGTCAAAAAACTGAAACTTCAAGTTAATAGTCATGATTTTGAACTCATTAAAGTCGTACAATGTTAAATTATGAGTGATTTCGGGGTAAATTTGTAATGATATTAGTATTGATTGAACATTAGACAAACTGTTCTACCATATATACAGTTTACCCATACAAAATGATCAGACCTAAACATAACAATAATAATGTAATGACAAATTGCATAACTACCGAATGGTGTCTGCTTATTATACATAATTGAGTGATACTAAATATTCTATGTGATTTCGATATGTGCTAATATCATTGATGAAAATCTTGACCTTACTCAAGCAGATATTTCTTGAAGAACATTGTGAAACTCGAGTGAATGGTTGTGCTACTATTGATGTTTTCTATGTAACTGTCTTATTGAATATGTGTCAGATAATCAGAACAGTTAATGAGAATAAAATTGGGAGATTCGTTTCATTTTGGATAGGTTTAGTGAGCACGTGATGTTGTCGATTGGAATACTTGAAACATATAAGTGTTTTATGATCATCCATTGAGCATGATTTGCTTGGAATGTTTTGATGGGAAATTATTGCTCAAGGTTATCATGAATCTGATTCATATATTAAGTGAACTATTCTCTTAATTATAATAAATGGAATGAATAATATCGTGTGGTAAAAAACAAAAGTCTTGAGGACTATAATTTACTAACTGATTTACTCGTTACTTATGTTTAGTGTTTGAAAAATAAAACTTAATCTATGTAAATGGATGACTTCATTTGAATGTAAAATTAGAAAGGTATTCATGTACAATATACTTGATTCTATGATTTATTGTTTGTTTGTTTGTTTGTTTGTTTGTTTGTTTTTTGTTGGTAAGATATATGTTTGTCTCATTTGTTTGAATAAATTGTTCTGCCAGGTATAATGGGAATACACTATAGTATATAATTTAGAATTTCAAATAAAACTATTAGCTGTGTAATAATTTTTAAGAAGAGAATGACCAGTTAAGTGATTAACAGAGCTTCAAAAACAGTTAGTCATCTATAAGCAACATATAATCTAAAACAGTATTGCACCATTTCACATCATACTTCATCAACACAGGTAGGTGAAATTATCACGATCAATATCAAAGTAGAGTTGGTGGGAGTAAAAAAAATGAAATTAATGTATGGAATAAGCTGAGGACTTGGAATGTTTGGGTAGAAAAAAATCACATACATTTACTCGATTGAGACTGGTTCTCAGCTATATCATTCAACTACTAGTCGTTGATAGTGGATTGGCATGTGGATGTGCATTTGCATAAGCGTGTGAGTCATCACATTTCACATCATACTTCATCAACACAGGTAGGTGAAATTATCACGATCAATATCAAAGTAGAGTTGGTGGGAGTAAAAAAAATGAAATTAATGTATGGAATAAGCTGACGATTTGGAATGTTTGGGTAGAAAAAAAATATCACATACATTTACTCGATTGAGACTGGTTCTCAGCTATATCATTCAACTACTAGTCGCTGATAGTGCATTGGCATGTGGATGTGCATTTGCATAAGCGTGTGAGTCTGTGTGGATTGCGTATTGATTGTGTATAGTATTAGTGAGCCCATTCAACTATGCTACTATTTGTTTACTCAGTGTAATTTAGACACCTAATCTCCTATGTAAACCTCTGTGTGAATCTGATTGTACGCGTGTCTGCACATCAATCTTGAATGTATTCTCCCATTGGTTATAACACACAGGTAATCAATAATTCATTCATAATCGATTAACACTCATCACTATATATGTATATATGAATTTGAAACACTCATAGTCGCCGTGTGTTTGCTTCGTTGAGACTTGTGGATTATTTATTAGTGATGTTTAATAATAAAGTATATCTATAACTGGTGTTGTTCAAGCTTTTTATATAATCATCTGGAGTGAATTGATAATTCTACTAGAAGATTTAGCCTGCATTAAATACTAATTTAACGGGATAATATTATTTACTATTATTTATTGGAGTCAGATATAAAGGAGATGATAAGCTTGAACAAAGTTGGTTGATGAGCAGTAGCCACATTTAGAAAATGCACCATGTTTTGTCTTCAAATGTGCATATTTAAAGCCAAAGTGACAGTTTTGTTATTCGGTGAGTCTCATATATATTTGTTGTTGTTATTTGTTAATTCCTCCTATTGTATATTTCAATGCTTAGCTTATTGTTATTGCTGTAGTTATTGTTTCTTCGTAACATGTCATTTGATAATTAACTAGAACATTAATCTATGTGTATTTGGTGTGTGCCGTGTGATCTGATTGCATGTTGATAGTGCATTGGCATGTGTATGTGCATATGCACAAGCGTGTGTGTTTGTGTGGATTGCGTATTGTATTGTATTGTACTGTATTGTATGGTATTGTGTATTTTGTATCGTTTATAATGTGTTGTGTGTAGTGTGTAGTGAGTATGGAGTAGTGTTGTCCGGAATAGTGTAGAGTATTTGACTGAAGGTGAGATGGAATGTTGATATTGATGAATTAGTTTTGTGCAGTTCCTATGAATTTTTGTTTGTTTGAGTGTTGTAAGGCGTTGAATCTCTGCTCCAGTGTGAAACAGGGGGCGTCAGATCGAGTCCCTTCCACATCATATGTGTTCACAATCACTCGGATCACACCACAACCACCACGTGACAGTGTGCATATTGTGACAGCGTTCCGTGTCACTTGAGCACTGCCGTTTCGTTGTATTGTGGGAATCCTCGAAGCAAGATATTTACAAAGAATACGTTAAGCTATTTGAATATTGGATATGAAAGCTAGTAGTATGGTGCTGTGGGATAAGTCTGTAGTGACCTACTTTTGTCAACAGAACGCGATTGTTTCGATGAAAACAATTATTATTATAACCAATTGTACCAGTGACTGTTTTACTGTGCTCGTTTGTTTAATTATGCTAATGACAGCCATTACACTTCCTCTCCCGTTGACTTTGAATTCGGTTACGCTCAGTAACCACGTTTGTACTCCGTGTCGCCTGAGCACTTGGTCCAATTCACAACACCGACCAGTGACAGTGCCTTTCCTAGTCCCACTCACAGACAACATGTTCTCACTTTATAGAAGTACTGTGATGTATAGTGATGAGTGGTGATTGATTGGTGAGTGTGGAGTGATGAGTGATTAAGTGAGACAGACAGTGGGTGAATGAGTGAGTGAATGGTGAGTGAGTGAGTGAGTGAGTAATTGAGTGAATGAGAAGTAGATGGTTTCCATGAGGTGTTGTGACCATGTGATCTGATTCCATGTTGATAGTGCATTAGCATGTGGATGTGCAAATCTAAAATAAATGGATAAACACATATATAAACTATTATTATCGAATAAAATACTGCTATGAGGCATGATAATAATAATAATAAGAAAATCAATAATAAAAATAATGTTTACTGGTATGAAGTTATTTTACGAAAATACCTTGGTATCGTCAAGAGAGTGGGAAGAGTCAGCTCTCCTTCTCGAAACGCTTCACATATGACCACGCGTATATAATCATTGTTAGCCATAAACAGTTATACCCATTATAAGTATGATCGGTTTGTAATGAAGTGACATATTATTACTTAACGTATTTGAGATTTATGTGAGTAACAATCGACGTTGATAGTCGTTTCCGTCCTCTTTCTGAACGTATACAGGAACAGTATATAAGACCACTGAAAGTGCCACGTTAAGTAGTCACAAAGACTCCATAAGTAAAGCGATGTGTGTTTCTTTTGAGCATGGTGACAAAACTATGTACCAGTTAATACTGATTTATGATGCGTCTGTTATAGTGTTCACGAATAAGTTTCTTTAAACAAAATCGGCCGTCACTGACCAAATTATGGACAAAGTTATATAAGAAACTTATGGGTTAGTCGTCACGTGCTAGTGAAGTCATATATATAGTGAAATCAGAGTTTTAAGGCAATATGATCTGTGAAATCACTAATTTTTCATTTGAATCATAATCTTGGTATAAAAAAATGTCATAAGACTGTGGAGCGTTCACAGCTATATGATGTGACGTATATGTTTTGCAGATTACCGATGAATTTCTATTAACGGAATCCGAAATGTGATGAATAACATTGTTTGCAAATAACAGACTAATAGGTACATTCTGTTACCTGCGAATTGATTAACTTATTCGATTTGATACTGCTAACTAAGTTTAATTGTATGTTTCAAGACTGATTTTTTGTTTTTCAGAATTGTATGAAGCTATTAAGGTCCTCAAAGCATTGTGATAATGTTTACGCCGGTATACAACAAATGGAATTTGTGATTATGGATGATCATGTGGAAGTCTACTAGAGCAAAAAAATGAAACATGAGTAATATTTTTTGGAACGGAGGGACAAAAATTCACCGGGAAAATGAAACAACTACACAATAATATACAATGAATTGTTATCCGAAAATAATAATCACACTGATTCTTTTGCATTAGTTGTCTTAATATTCACATTGATGTTTAGGATTGCAATCGATCAGTCTGTTATGGCATATGCGCATCCTGTGTGGTGTGGATTATCTCGATATTACCATTAATTCGTAAATATAAATATAATGAGCAAATATGGATATTGGTTATCAGTGAGATCCAGGACGCACACTTCGTCTCATGTGAGACTCGTCAGCTGGATGTATCTGAATCCCAGAGTTGATGTACACTCCCTCCGGGACCGGAATCATTCTTCTGTGTACTTTCATTTGTAATCTGCGAAAAACACATATATATCAACTTACAGTTTCATCTGCATCCAACTGATTCCAAGCTGGATTCATACGACTCACTCGACTACTTAAACATGTATTCATAGAATATCTAGAATTCGAAATTATTAAATATCAATTTAAAAATTCAAACAACTTTAAAGGTGTTGTTGCCATTGGAACACCATTGTCGATGGCGTCTATCTCAACAATAAATGAACTATACATCTATAATAACATAAATAAAAGGGAGAAAAGGTTTTGTCAAATTCTGATTCTGAGGGAAGAAAATTGCATCCAGAAATAATCAATTTTCTAATGTATAAAAACCTACCTTATCAAAAAGTGCCGTCACCAATGGATCCATAGTATTTTCATCTCTACCAAGTATACAACTTAGTATTTTTCGACCGAAATGAACGTATATCAGACCTGCACTACTTAATTTTATATCCCAATCACAATTCGGATAAAAATCTTTATAAGTAAGATTGAATTCTCTACAAAATGTAAAATTTGAAGAAAAGAGGAAAAAAGCTGAATTAATTCTAACCAATTATAATACTAACCTTTGATGATGATCGTATAAATGATTTTCAGCATCGAATACACCACCAACATCAACGACGATATCACACGTTGACAAAACACTTGAATCTCTCGTGCGTATAATCTCAGCATTTGAGTATTCCGGTAAATGTTTAAGCATTGCACATGCAAGTATTTCATCTGAATGCAATCGTCCATCATGTGTACCAATACGCAGTTTTGAATTAGTTGCCATTGATAATAACGAAATATTGTTAGCTAAATGAAGGACGAAAACAACACAGTATGATTATTGACTGAAAAGATTGATTGAGTAAAGCTCAATTATATTTAGGTCGACTGATTTACTGAGTGACATGTTGGTGTACTTGGTTTATAGCCACATTACAAGTGTGACAAGCAGTTATGTCTTCAATTTGGGTTCACACTTAAGCGCCCGGTAAATGAGTTGACGTTACTAGTTAACTGTTCACATGGTTCACATTGTAAGCTATCTTTTATCTAATTTTATCATTATTTTTATCAACTGAATTACCAGGTGTACAGATTCCTATACTTAGCTTAAAACCACATTTAAACATCAAACCTAATAACACTGTCCATTTACTCAAACGAAAGTAGGTGGATAGAGATCCGATCCTCAAACTTATTGGCTGAAAGCTAAAACGATTAACCACTGACCCATCACTTCACCAACTAACCTAACTATCTCCAAAGCTTGCGTCAATGACGCATAAAAGTTCGTTAATTATCAACAGGCTAATTAATTTTGTTTATATCCCATTGAGTTTTATAAAATGGCGATATACTGTGTTCTTATACTTGAATTTAGAGAGGTATTCTTTGAACTGAAAATTTGGGAAAATATAAGTTTTGAGCAATCTATGAATCATGAGAAAAATATCAGTAATATTAGGTTTGTGAATTTATCACTAGCTGTATAGATGATACAACGCAGATAGATGGGTTGAACTTCCACAAAATTACTCAAACTTCTCAACTTCTATTTGAAGATCTATCAAATAGAAACTTTTCCCGAGTGTACATTAGACAGTAAATGATTATAGCTTTGATGATGAATCTTAAAACCCTAACATTTTTACTGAAATGTGTTAGCTTTTTTATAGTCTTTAGAAATACACAGCTTTTTAGTGCCAGAAATATTTGTCCAATTGTTTAGAAACGGAAGTTATTTCTTGGAATATCACGTGCACTTATCATTTGACCGATTTGTGATCAACTCAATGTATCACTTACAAAATATTTCAAATACGAAAAAATTGTAAGAATGTTACCTTCTTTAAGTGGACGAGTGATAAGTTCAGAGATTGGTGTAGCATAATCTAGCAATAATGTAAGCGGATTTGATGAACCACAATGAGTTGCTAATCGTAAATGTGCAGCTAATTCCGAAGTAGTTCGATTGATACGGCTTTGTGTACTGTTCTTACCAAACCAAGATGGAAATGAAACACCACCTGGACCACCAGGTAAAGAGCCACGAAGAGTACGACCAGGTGAAACTGTACTGAACACACCTTGAACAGGTAATAAAGACCACGATCCCGTACGTGATGATCTGATAGTAGATGAAATGATATCTGCCGTGGCGATGTCAGACGCTGCTTGAGACATTAGTTGCAAAATTTTTTTATCGTCACTAAAACAAAGTTAACTAATTACATACGAACGAACCGATGGACACTATTAATACAAATATAGACAGTAAGAAAATGTGCGAGTCACAAACCATACCTTACTTTCTTGCAATATATACAGCGAACGTAAATCATTTATAAAATAATATTTTACGTGTCTACAGTTATGTGTACTTGTTTTTGAACGATACTATAAATGTGAGGGCTGGTGATGCTACTTACACGTTCAAACAGCTAAAGGCTACACTCATATATTTAACACTGACGATACGCCTCAAAATAACAGTGTCACAATTCAAATTGACAGGATCTCACAACAACTACCCAAGCTTTATAGTTCCTCGTTATCAATGTATTTGTATCGCCCCCAAATGCCCTGTTATGGCCGAGAGTGGAGTGGCCCGCCCTCCCTCTCGAAATGCTCTCACACGGCCACGCGTATACAGCCTCTGCCAGGGAAGACCTACTCACTGCCTTCTCGTGGCAGGGGTGTTGTTTACGAAAATGAGAGGACGAAAAACAAATGTCTGGCGCTTTAACCAGGTTGATGGATATAGAGGATCCATCTAGGGGAATCGGAAAACCCTGATTCCAAACCAATGGTGCACATGGGCTCCAGGATCCTGAGGGAATGAATGGTATATGAACCAGTCGTTGGTCACCGGACACCATGAGACTGCATCTCCTGACGTTGCTCTACTGCCTTGTGGATTAGACCTTTAGGTCAAAGGTTCTGGGTGTGGTCGCCTAAGAAAACCACCTGCTTCGGTTTGAGCACACGGGCACTATCCTAGCCCTCACACAAATCGAATGATTTATGTGGCGCATATTTATTTAGTGCCTTCTTGTACCTATGTTTATGTGTTTAAATAAATAAACTTTTAAGACATATATGTATACAGTAACAATATTATTAACGATAATAACAATAATACTTACTGGGTATTATGAACTCTAACATTAAGGTAATTTTCCTCAACAAACAAAGGAATTAAATTGTAATCTTGAAAAAATAAATCTAAACTTTCATTGAATGTAGCAACACTGCCTTGGGAACCAGAAATATCCGGTGCAAAAACTTTACGAATCACATCAAATGCATTTAAGTGTAGATCTTTACGTGCACCTAGTGCATCCGCTTTTAATCCTTCCGAATCAATTAAACCAGAACTACACCACATTTGAACATTATTAATTACCTGAAATTACAAAGTATACATGGTTGTTTTCTTAATTATCCATTATCATTGTTGCTAAAAACAAAATACGTTTAGGATCAACACTTGGAAAGTAAAATTGTGGTAAAATAAAGCTTAGGTTACTAGCAACATTCTTATTGTCAAATAAGTACGTCATATCTAGCTTTTACGCACATTTTCCCGTTGATTAAAAAATGTTTAATTTCCACTAAACATTTCCATTCAAGAGTTTGAAGTTAAATCTGACTATGTTGGAGATGCTAGATCCCTAGAGATCACTTAGTAAATGTTTCATTTTTGTGATTTTATTATGCGAATTCGGATTTCCTATTTTCGTACCGAAAGCATCCATTTTTACATTAAGTTTGTAATTCCCACTTGGAAGGACCTTAAATATCATTGGTTCTATTTCTCCTTTAGTACGCTATTTTGTGACATTTTGCAAGGATAGTCTTGTACTGTATAGATATACGCATGAGTTGTGTGTTTGTTTTGTTCGTGCTTCTGGAATATATATATATCGGTTGGATCTGGTCTTCTCCCTCTTGTTAGCAGGGCTAAGGCGAAATGGAATAGCTTAGCTTATTCTATCATTGTGGTGTTGCATTTTGTTCCGTCCGCAGATTTTAGGTGATATCGTTATTTCTTCAAACGTAGCAATCTGCAATGAACATTTCTTTGTCGTGCAGCACAATAGGTCGGATCAAAAATACAAACGTTGTGAAAGTTGGAATTTGAAATGAAATTTCTAGGTCAAAATTGCATAGCAATATGTAGCACAAACCCGTTAATCGAGAGGAAAAATGAACGAAAGTGCTGTGGATACAACCTACATTTACTGAACATTGAAAATGTTGTGGATAACCTGAGTAAGCTATACAAGCTTGTGTAAACAATGCTGTGACCAAAATTCTAATTTATAAGGGATGATTCGAAAAAACGTAGGTGAAATTTAATATAAAAACTTTCAAAACGCGATAAATTCAAGCTCTTGACAAAGCTAGAAATATTCATTTACTGAATACTACAAAAATTACATGCATTGAATAACTCAGACATATTGAAGCACATCATAAAATTGTTCACACCTTTAGAATATACATCTTGCCAAATAGATGTTTAGAACGAGTAACTAACTTGATATAAAGTGCTTAAGTGGATATGTTTAAGTTGGTAGAAATAAAAAAATAAAATTTTGTAGTTGCACTGGTTAAACTTCCGTATACAGTTAATACTGTGGATAATTTTGACACAATTGCTTTATTATGTATTCATAATTCATCTTTCTAATTAGGTTATTAAAAGGTTGCAGGATGACATTATTATAAAATGTGTTACAATAGCTTGATCATAATCCACTTTGTACATATAACTGCTTGATCTCATTTTAAAGGAGAGATCCTTGTATCTAAATAAAATCTGCTAGAACATATCTCTTATGAACAACATGTTGTACAGTTTTCAGACTCATTTGAACTACGATTTGTTTCCCACTTATTCTAATGCGACAAAAAAATGGGATATTTGCAAAACAGAGATCCAAGTACCTAGCTTCAAATCCCATTTTGGGTGTAAAGGTTGATGGTGAAATATTATTTAATTGCCTGAAGTAGATGAAGTAGGGTTTTAACCTATGAACTAGTGTTTGGAAGTCAAATGCTTCACCAAATAAACCATTAGCTCCTAATCTTAATAAGGCTTCTTATCGACAACAACTTATGTACAGATCGCTTAAATTCACAACATAAAAAATAAGGCGATAATCCAAAAAAGGGAGAAACGACTTAAAGTATTTTTAAATAATAAAATAACACAAATTGGTAAAATGATAAAAGTTTCTTTGTATATTTTACCTGTCTAATATCATGATTACTAGAATCGATAATATTTGTTAATACATCCGGAGGTAAATTCACATTTTCTTTGCAAGCAATAGACAATACTGCTGACTTGATTTGTTCAACTCGTGGACGATGAAATCTTAAATCGAGACAATAGTTAGCCAGAGAGCGTATCTAATTAAAATAGCAGAATGTAAGAGTAAGCATAAAAATAATATTAATTATTATTATTTAATAAGTTTGTCTGGAAAATTTCCTTAAAATTATAACTGTTAATTCAGCTTACTCAATTTACCTTCATTCCTATCATCAGATAATCTGGTGTATTAATTATACTACTTAATAATATTCAGTAATTAATTCCACTTTTAATCATTTTGGGCATATGATGTTCTCTATGACTTCTCAGTACTTAAATAAATTTGTAATATTCAGCGAACTCGATCATAGACGTGACTTATAAACACTTCTAACCGTTAGTTTTAGTTTTTTTTAAATCATTGAATCTTTTTTTAAGTGTAACAGTCTTTAAATTTTGAGTGCCCAGTTGCCCTTTCGATTGTTGTTGTCGTTGTTGACTTTAGACACAGCTAATAACAGTTATTTATGCTATCATATATCGTTAATATACTTTCGGCAATTATTTAAAAAACCATTTACCATTATATCTAAATCGATCAGTCAAACGCCCCCGAGGCTTGTAGCTAATTTGGATATTTTTTTGTGAATAATCGGACCGCTTCTCAGACAAAATCTTAGTATTTCCGAATACAGATTGTTTGTGCATAGATAGGCTTATCAATAATCCTAAATAACAAGAAGTAAATTTGATAATAACTTAAGTCTAAATTTGAACGATTGATTAGTTTCACAACATATTTGGGTGACACTTCCAAAAACGTAAATACATATTTATAAAAATCTCAGTAATTGAAATGAGATAACTAGGTTTTCACTCATCAGTCTAGTTAAAGCATCTCCAAGGGAGAAATTAAAAATCGAAATTATAAAAAATAAATAGGCCACACAAAACAATCGTGTACAAAACGATTATCCAATCATGTTACGATATGGAGCTTGGAAGTTTTTGGTATGATATAGGTGTGAAATATGGTAAATGAGTTGTAACAGAAGGAATTAAGTGCATGTGGGGGGTAAATCTGACTTGGAAAATAGAAATTTTAGAGCTTCGACAAAGAAATATCGAAACTATTGAAAAGTTTTAATTTTAATAGCTAACAGACCTTAATCAGGCAACAACTTGTATATACGCATTTTCAATCATCTAGTGTGCTAAAAGCTTCAAAAATATGTTAATGATACCTTCAGAGTTGAAAATGCTGGGAGGAAAGTCAAATGTGAAAGTCTACCCGAGATCATTTAAAGATACACTTTAACAACTGATACAGTTAAAGTATTAATTCAGCTTTTGAACAAAATGAACAATAACACAAACTACCCTAATATTATTATTGAAGCGCTAAATTTACAGTTGAATCATGACCTTTTTTATAACTTGCTAAGCTGTTAGTAAACAATATTTGTTTATATATACATATATAGAGCATGTCATTTTATTTCACATACAAAAAATGAAAACAAAATATATTACTAACTTTTATAGCCTGACGATCATTACACATACAAATAATAGGTAATTGAGTCATTTTAATCATGTTAATAAGTTCTTGCATTCCTCCACGGTCTTCATTACCAGCCATACCATCTACTTCGTCCATAATTAAAACGTGATGACCAGAATTCAATGTTGATGCTATGGAAAAAAAAGGAATATTCAATCCATACAATCAAATTAATAGTCACTGATATCTGACCATAGAAAAGTAGAAGTGTTTCATGTTTACTATAAGATCTGAAAGTCCTAAAGTTAGATTCTTTTTTTATTACTTATTTATTTAAACACAAAAACATTGATACAAAGAGGCACCGAATACATATGTGCCCTACTAGTCATTTGGTTTGTGTGTGATCTGGGATACTGCTCGGGTGCCCAAATTAAAGCAAGTGGTTTTCTTTGAGTCACCCCCGGAGCCTTCGGCTTAAAGGTCTGATCCACAAGGCAATGGAGCAATGTAAGGAGATGCAGTCCCATGGTAACCGGTGACCAATAATAGGTTCATACGCAATGTGTTTCCTCAAAGTCATGAAAGCCATGGGCACTATTTGTTTAGAATCGGGGTTTTCCAACTCCTATAAGTGGATGGTCTGTATCCATCAACCTGATTTAAGCGCCGGACATTTGCTTTACGCCCCCTCAATTTTTCAGACAACACGCCTGCCACCAGAATGCAGTGAGTAGGGCTTCCCTGCCAGTGGCTATACACGCCATATGAGAGCGTTGCAACAGGAACAGAAAACTCTCCCCACTATCGCCCATACTAGAGGATTGTACGTTGGATTAAGCACATTCATTTAAACAAGACGAGAAAATAGTTGTCTATTAGGGCTATTTGGTTTCCCTATATTTCTTTATCTAATCTTAGGTCGTAACAGGAAATATTTTAGTTTTTAATGAGAAATCTTAGGTACGCAAACTGCAGAAATAAAACATGAGAAAAGTTTGAGAGTTGATGGAAACTAATATACAGTCAATAGAGAGAGAAACATTTATTCATTTTCAGACAACGAGTATATATGTGAAGATGTAAACCTACACTACATATTACATGTGAAACTGTCAAAACACTAATAATACTAAAGCGACCTATTTAAATCAGTGGTCAAAGCATTTAAAACACATCGCAGTCTATGTCTTATGTCTAGAAACCCCACAATAAATATGAACGTATTTTACATTCGATTACTGTTTATCCAAAACTTAAGAGTACTACAGTGAAGAAATGTAATAATTATGTTAACGCCTACTGTAGTGCAGAATAACAGGTTGGTAGTTAAAGCGAAAAATAGTTTCAGGACCTCAGTTGTGAAACTAAGTGATTGCGCACCGATACAGTGGGTCAGTCAGAAATCAGCAAATGATAGGTGTATGTGATTGTCCAAGAAATGGCTTCATTCCCAAGCGATGAAACATAAATCACTGATAAGACCAGTTTCCTAAAGCACAGACACATAAATAAAAGTACATATAATCGGTTCAGTTAAGACGGGCAAACTTCCTTTGTCACTCTTCATCCATTCTCTACAATGGCCGGGCTCGTGAACAGAAATAGCATATACAAGTATCAGTTTCCAGAAAGTGCGCGTCATAACATATATCTCACTGACCATTACAATTTCATATTCAATAATCAACATCATTTTATCCTAGGGTGACTGCCGGTCCCAAGCCCGAGCGAATGGGGAGGGTTGGACATGAGGTCAGCAATCAAATCTGTAGAAAACAACCTTGCTAAAAATACACTAATCATATTAAACAACTTAAAGTATTTAAACTCTGTCCTCTTAGTTGAAGAATCTTCATTCAGAAGAATTGTGAGGCAATATCCTGGTCCGCACACATTCAATTATTTGTGTGGCTGATATATTTTATGGTTCCCCTTTGTACCAATATTTATGTGTTCAAATAAATAATTAAAGAATAAGAATCCCATGGATCCAGAATTATCAAATCATCATTCAAAATAAAGGGGGGAATCACAATGAATGTTATCCTCTGTTATGCACCCACCAATGATAACAATGAAGACGATAAACATCAGTTTTACGAGAGGCTGCAACCGATTGTAGAGAAGTGTCCAGGAAAGGACCTGACTATCCCAATGAGAGACCTAAACGCCAAGGTTGGAAAGGACAACATTGGATATCAAGATATCATAAGATTGCATGGACTGACTGGGAGAAAGGGACGAGAATAGTGAGAGATTTGCAAACTTATGTGCATTCAACAAGCTGGTTATATGCGGCACAACATTCTCACACAAATGTATACACACAGCTACATGAGTCTCACTGGACTACACCGCGAAGAACCAGATAGATCATACATATAACAGTAAAAAATTCAGATGGACAATCGAATAACATGAGAGCCAGAAGAGGAGCTGACATAGCTAGCTTCAGATCACCACCAATTAGTAGTTGCCAAGATAAAACTGAAAATGAAGAAGCATTCGGCAACTGGACAAACGGCAGTACAAAGGTAAAACACAGCCTTTTTTAGACATACTGATAAACTCAACGATTTCGAGATAACTCTCAAGACTTACAGGATCTATTCAAAGAAGAAGAAACTACAATGGAGTACAACAGGGAAGGAATCACAGAGACACTAACTTCAACGTATCAGGAGGTTCTGGGCGGCAAGAATTATCATCATAAGGAATGGATCTCCATGGAATCCCCGAACAAGATTCAAGAAAGGAAGAACAGGACAGCAATCAACAACAGTCGAACAAGAACGGCGAAAGTCAACGCACAGGCTGAATACACTAAAGCAAACAAGCAAGTGAAGAGAGGCATTAGAGCCGACAAGCAGAAATACGTGGAAGACCTAACAACGACGACGAAAAAAGCTGCAACACAAGGAAATATAACACTACCATAAAAAAGAACGAAGAAACTAGCAGGGAAATACAGTATGCCAGATAGAACAGTCAAGAACAAAGAAGGTAAGCCAATAACTGAGATTCAAGAACTGAGGAACAAATGAGTAGAACATTTTGAGGAACTCTTGAATACGCCAGCTCCATTGAATCAACCGGACATCAAAGTAGCGCACAAATAACTTCCTGTGACAGTTACTTCACCATAGCCATCAGACAACTAAAAATATGGAAGGCAGCAGGACCTGACAGCATATCACCCGAAGTACTGAGATCAGAAATGGAAGCAACTGAAAACATGCTCCACGTTCTATTCAGGGAGATTTGGGAGGAAAAACAGGTGTCGACAGACTGGAGAGAAGGATACCTTACCAAAATAGCAAAGAAAGGAGATCTGAGGACTTAGTAAATGACCTAGCTCTTCTATACCATACGCAGAAACGAATGTAGGTGAAAACAACCGGTTTAGCAGCAGCCTCAACATAAACAAGGGAAAGAGCAAGATCCTCAAATACAGCACAGAGAATACCAAAATAATCATACTTGGTGGAGAAGCTCTGGAAGAGGTCGAAACTTGCACATACCTGGGAAGCATCATCGATGAACAAGGAGGATCGGAAGCAGACGTAAAGGCAACGATTGACAAACCAAGGACAGTATTCCTATAATTGGAGGACATATGGAACTCAAAACAACTATTAGCCAATATCAAGTTCAGAATCTTCAATACGGACGTCAATACAGTTCTACTGTACGGGACTGAAAAGTGGAAAACTACCACAACCATCATCAAAAAAGTACAAGTATTTACAAACAATTGTCTACGCAAGATACTCATCGTCCTTTGACCGGATAACATCAGCAACAGCCTATCGGAGAGAAGACAATCCAGGTTTCAACTGAGGAGGAAATAAGGAAAAGACGTTGAAAGTGGATAGGACATAGATTGAGGAAATCATCAAACTGCATAACTAGACAGGCGCTAGCTTGAAATACTGAAAGAAAACAGAAAAGAGGAAGGCCAAAGAAGTTGGAAGCATACATGAAAAGAATGAACAGCAACTGATGACAACTATAAAGGACTGACCAGAACAGAGTTCGATGGAGAATCCTGGTGAGTGGCCTATGCTACTTCACGAGGGTTAACACAAGTAAGTAATTAAATCATTAGTACTTAGATCTTAGTCATGAAAACACAGACTCGAACACATTCCGCTTACTATGATTTTGAATTCAAACACTGTATAAATAAACATTTAGGAATACTAAGATCTTTATAAACTATTACCACCAAATGCTGGAACATAAAATAGGAGACACATACCTTGACCAAAAGCCATATGTGACAAATTTCGTAAACCCAAAGACTGTCCTATTTCTTCACTTAAACACCGCTTGGATCGACAATCAGATGCATTAAATTCGCAATAAGTATAACCGAGTTCTTTGCATACTAAAATAGCTGTTGATGTTTTGCCGATCCCTGGAGGTCCCGAAAGAAGTGCTGCGCGCGCCCACCTCCCATCATCACTAGATGACGGGCCCCATGGAGGCGCACTTGAGTAAGCCTTCGCTTTTAAACCTGAAAAGTGATAAACACAAAAGTTTAAAACTGAGGTCAATTATAAGAACAGTTGGTTCCCAGTATTATCACATTACAGAATAACATAACCGGTATTTCAGATTATTTCACGGAATTTTCACAATGTCAGATAACTAAAAACGTTTCTACATAACAATACGAAAATTAATGTAGTCTGCTTCACAAATACACCAAACGAGTTTCGAATCATCAGACAATACGTATAGTAACTAAAGGGCTATAAGCTTGAAACATAACAGCTAATGAATTTAGTACGGAAATATAAAGTTCGTAAAGAGCAGCATAAATGTAACTTGATATTTCACGTTTCATGAACATGGAAAGATCAGGCTAGAGTCTGGAAAAAAGGATCTACAGACCTACTGTTACAACTTTCGTTGTGCAATAGCAGGTAATGTAAACTAACATCGAAAAATGATATTCATTGGATGAATGATCGAATTACTTCTGTTTGAAGGAGAATTAATAACTATAAAAGTTATAAGATAACTGGTACACCACAAACCTGCTGAAAAATTCGAATGCCAGGAAGATAGCCAATTTAAAAGTCGATTTGCTGGACTTTGTGCACCGTTTTGACCAATCAGTGAACGAATTGACGTTGGTTTATACTTGTCAACCCATAATTCAGACAACTTCGAACCCATCTCTTTGAACAGGGAATCTTGCTTATCAATAACATTAGTAGGAGTTTTGGATAAACTACTGCTATGAATTCGATCAGTTTTATTATTGAATGTTGAATTATTAGTTAAAACAGGACGTGCAGTCAGAGGAAGTTCATTACATGAGGACATAACAGATTTTCCTGCATATTTATTCGGAGATTCATGTTTATGAGATTCAGGAGCATTATCCGGTGATTTGGTAGATTGATTCTTCTTAGGGGATTTTTTAGGACTTTTTAAATTTTGTTTACTATTGTTTGCATTTACAGGCTCCAATTTCTTGGAAGATTCCGAGCTGGATACACTCGATTTATGATTTACAAGAGGAATATTACTGGACTTTTCTATCATTTCAAAAAGATGTTCTTCTGTAATCTGCTTAATTTTCAAATTGTTAGCCTTCACGAATTTAAAAAAGAACGCAGTTGTGAGTAGAAAAACAGTTTCAAATCAGACACAGAAATGAATAATACTATGCGCTGTTTAACAGAAATAATTTTTCCCGCTGAAATATTTCAAGTGTCGTATATGCTTTTACTAATAGTGTTCTTCTGAACAAGAAAGAAGTCCAGAATCGAAAGAGTACAATACCTCTACTCATGACTGGATAAACTGTCTTCCTAAGGAGTTATAACGAATGACCAAATGACTTGTATAAGATGATGACTATAGTAAAACAAACAAATAATAACATAATTAGACTAGACACAATATCAGTAATTCTTCTGGTCCTTCATTGTTTAAAATACAGAATTCAAAAGGAACTCATTTAAGTAAAGGTAATTGATTTTTTAGGTTACATCACTACTATAACATTCAATTTGTTTATAATTGGTGTACAATCATAGCTGAGCCAAAAAGTATAAATTAGTAATAACACTACAATTGATTTGATAAAATATATAAAGCATTGAGTCAAATTGATAGTTACGCTAATCAAATAAAAGCACAAAATCCAACTGAATAATTTTTTGTGTGAATAGAATTACGATTAGTTGAATGATTGAGTACTTAAACAAATACATCTATTAAGAATACAAAGCTACTATTTAAATACAACATATTCAACAAAAATAATATGCATAGAAGTTCTTTATTAATTAACAAATTAGAATAATTCAAGATAAGAATGAAAACCACTATGTTTATTGTTAATGACCCTTCATTCTGATTCATTTTAACACAAACTACATTCTTCTCTTAATATTATTAGTTTTAATGTTATTATTTAGTAATTAGGTACAGGTGATTTTTCAAGATGGTTATAACCTATTATGTCAGCACTTAAAGTAATCATAAACTTTTAAGACGATTGTATCGTTCGAATTCATAACAATCAAGTATTTTTAAATATTAAACAACTCTTAGGTGAGTAAAATAAAAATTAATGAAGCCATTTAAATAGTTGAACTATGAATTCTACGTTGATCATAATTGATAAATAAACTTTACTTTCTAAATACCAGATTGAATAAACATTGATGAATGATAATAATCATTTCAAATGTTAATTAATCTATCAGTGAACATAATGCTAGACTAGGCTTTTATATGGAGTGGTTTGTAGATTAGTCGTATCCATCAATAATTGAAATTCAAGGGGCATTAGACTTTTCTCCCATTTATCATGTACTATTAGCAGTACTTATCAATAACGATCTGCTTAAATGAATCTGGATTTTTATATAACACAAAAACAACTGGCCAACATGGACAATAAATACTGTGGAACGAAATGGATTTAATTTATTTTTTATATATAAAATCTTCCATATCCGAATTAATTTTATAAATGCTTTATATGTAATATGTTTGAATTGATTGAGTATATTAGTGAAGAAAAAAGCTACAATTATTTTCCCCGATTATATAAACCCAATTTACACAGGAATAAGCGAGAGAGAGAGAGACATCATTAGAAACAAGTACAGATTATTTATAACAAGGTAGAGGTAGTGGAGTGATACATGACATAATGAAAACAACTGTAATGATAATACTCAGAAGTGGTATGAAAATTTCAAGATGAAATATTTATTAGATTTGATACAATGATGGGGAATTAATCAATCTTTCGAATGATGAATAGATTCTCCTGAATTATATGTGGTAATTAAACTAAAGACATGAGAAATCAATGCAGTGCTAGTTTCTAGATGACGACATTTATCAGAGTTCTGGTCAATTTAATTAAACGGAAATTTGATAAATACTTTTTTACTAGAAGGGGTTTTGTGGAGAATTGGTAATTTCAATAGTTGAAATCATGAATCAATTGAACCACTGAGGAGTCCCATACTAGGACGAAACGGCCGTCCAGTGCTTTCAGGTTTTCCATGGTGGTCTAGCCTCAATTGATTCATGATTTCAACTATTGAAATACTTTTTTACCAACGTGGTGACGAGTCATATCTTTTTGATTATGTGTATTTTTTTTAACAGACTTTATCAAATGAACTTTGACACTTTTCTTTTTCAAGTGAATGATAAAAACATAGTTTGCCTGCTCTTAAAACGACAACATTCTGACAAGATTTCTTTCATATGAAATTGAACGGTTAGGATGAAAATATTGATTGAATCAAGAAGTGTTGTGGTAAATTGCATAATTGTAGAAAATGATTATAATTATCATCTATAGATTGAATCACTTTATGCACTTTTTTAATACAAAATCACATTTGTAAGACAGTTTATCCCAATATCATTAGTTCATATGTAAAAAATTTACAATGCATGGAAGTAAACATACGTTATCGAACAAGGTTTTTTTTTCAAACTTTCAAAACGATTATTTAGGGGGACAAATTGGTCAAGATAGTTACATGTTGGACCCATGTGGTTGATCACAGTAATAGAAATCTGCACATCCACACAGTCCATAAGATAAAAGACCTTATTTTGGAGCCGGGGAAAAGTTACAAACATATTCGAGTATTATGTTGACCTCGAAACTCCTAAATCCTTACACTAGCTTGTGAGTATCATTTTCACGTAAGTTATTAATAAAGACAGAAAATGAAAATTAATCTGCCGTAATGATTCATAAAAAGGACTTGCGTTGCTTCGAATTCAGTGTTTGAATGTCCTTGTTGCACATCTAGGTTGTCTATGATGAGTACTGCAGAAGTGTTTGAGTGTGGTAAAAAAATAATTTAATAAGATTAAAAAAGGGTTTTAAACACGCTACTTTTCATCTCCATTGAAGTCACACGTCTATAATTGCAAAAAACTTGGTGGGAATATAATTAAGGATAAGATAGATAGATACAGAAGGCATAAGCTATAATTTGGCACCTCCTTTTACTTTAGCGTCTCAAAAGCTCTCTTGAAACACAGAACTCCCAAGTTACCTCTAAGGCTACTAACAGCCCCGAGTCCGGGAAAAGAGAGAGTATTGGGTGTAAGGTGAGAAGCCCCTTTTCTTAAAAAAGAATCAAGTTACAGAATCTGTAAACACAAAACGTGAATTCAACTCCGTTCCAGAAAGAGAAGAGTTTTTATTTATAAGACATGTGACAGCGCGTGGTGAAAGCCGTCTTCGGAATCCAAGAGGTCGACACTCCTTCGGATAACCGAGGCAACAATAAACATAGGGACGTGGAATACCTGAACAAAGTGTGAGACCGAGAAACTCCTTTAAACAACCACATAAATGAGGAGATACAATTCGGTCCTGCTTGAAATAAGTGGAACCCCTCTTCTCATATGCATAGGCTATAGAAATCAGTAATTATCATGCTATTCAATCTTTCTCCGATGTTAAGATTTAACAAACAGTTGACCTAATTACATATTCGTACCTCAATGTAGACTAACCAACAGTATACTTGAGATATAAAATTTTACAGTTTAAAAGTACCATTCCTTTCCACTTATAAGTAGCCGAGTTAAGATTATACTAAAATAGCTGGAAATAAGTAGCTTAATTGATGAAAGAATAAAACAATTTAAGATGGGAATGAGCAAATATTAGTTTTTTACTCTTAATAAATAAACAATTATGATGGATTTAAGGATTTAAAAACCCACCTTCTCGATTTTGGCTGCACCAGGTTCACGTCCGACAACGAGATAATCAGTCTTTTTACCTAAAGTTTTTAAGACTTTTCCACCACAATTCTGAATAAGATTTGCAGCGTCCTCTCGTTCAATACACTCCAGTATTCCGGTGATGAGAAAATTTAGTCCCTTTAAACAATCCGGAGTTCCCTGGAACGGAAATTGTATAACAATACATTTCGTTGCGCGAATGTCGTCTCAGAGATATTTCTTGAAGATTTTAGGAAATAGTACGACATTTTCACTATTGTATTTGACAAACTCAAACAAACCATCAAAAATCACGAAAAAACTGAAAGCAATCTAATTTAAAAAAAGATCGCGCAAACTACCTGACTGTTTATAAGAATCTCTAGCTTTCTGCATAAATACCACCATCACCACATTTCTAGTCCATACTGTATAAATTCATATGCGATCACCTTTAGAGTGCAAAGCAACCATCAATTCCTGATTGTTTAGCGGTTAAAGCACTTAGCTTTCAGAAGGTAGGTCGTAAATCTAAACAACGCTCCCTGTTACTTCTGTTTGGAAACCCATACACTATTGACAGCTTTGTACAAAGCTTGAGACACGCATCTAAGTACATAAATCTGTACTTAATTAATAAAACATATCAGAAGGGGTTTTGTGGAGATTGTAGTAATTTCAATGATTAAGATCATGAGTCAGTTGGAGCTAGACCACCATGGAAAACCTGGAAGCACTGGACGGCCGTTTCGTCCTATTATGGGACTCCTCAGCAGTGCGCATCTACGACCTCGCCCCCTGCAAGATTCTAACCCAGGACCTACAGAAAGTGTTTAGTTATGGCTTACGAATTATGCATGTGGACAGCTTTTAACATCTTAATATGACATTTCTTAACGTAGTACGTAAACTGGAGTAGGAATGGAAAACTTTGCTGTACAGGACAGTCAGATTTCATTTCAACCACTATATCGCTTAGGATTTGAAAATGCACTATGTTTTTTTTACCTAATACCTAATAATTGTGTTTAGCCCAAACCAATATAACTCAAAAGATGATTAAATTAAAATATGCTACAAGTTCAGTGAAATCGGGATCTTCTGGTTACGGTTAGCAGGAGAGAAATCGTCAAAACTGAGTCGTTTGTTGCAGTGAACTCAAAATAACATGACTGATAAGTCTCAAAAATTCAACTATTCTTATGCCGCACACTTTGTTTTTGACTGTTTTCTTAGACTTTGTCTAGTAAATCTAAGGTACGTTTTATCATTATTTTCATTTTTATGGTTTTCCTCCTTTAACTACTTTCTACAATGTTAGTAAAGGGTTTTCAGCCCAGATTGATAATTTTATCGAGGTCTACGTTGCTCATGTCTACTTCGTCAAAAACTTAATCAGTTCAACTAATCATACTAACATAATTGTATAGTGTCATAACACTAGAACTTTTAAGGCATATATTACTATCCCATGGACCCAACAAAACCCACCTGCTTCGGTTTGGGCACCCGGGCAGTATCACAGCCCTCACACAAATCAATTGAGATTTGTGTGGCGCATATGTATTTGGTGCCTCCCTGTACCTATACTTATGTGTTAAAATAAAATAAATAAATAACCTTATACTTCTGTGAACTGCTCCATCCACGTAAAGCTTGACCTCTCAATGTCATCTGACCACTACTATACAGCACATTTATTTGCTAACTGATCTTAAGACAAATAACTAGTTACACCAGCTAAAAAAATTAATTTTACCAATTAGTCACTGAAAATATAGTTACCACATGAAAAATTCTACACCAATGACATTCGATTATGTTCTAAAACAAGCTGTATCATATTTTAGACCGTTTACATTAAATTAAGAGGACTAACCTTAGGAATTTCTCTTGACCCAAGGCTGCGAGGACCATCGCGAGCTTTGTAAGCCCAAAAATGCTTTCGATCTTTTACAGCAGTATCAGTGCTATCATTAAGAGACTCATTAGCCTATTTTACATCATTAAAAATCAAAAGACATTTGAATGGTAAGACGTTGTTAGCGTTTACACAATAAGTATTTCATGAGTGACAGAAACTAAACATAGATTACATATACGGAAAAAAAGCTAAATGCCTGAAACGAATGGAAATCCATATGGGATATCTATCACAGGATTAATCTTAGCCCGCCAAACTGGTAGGTGAATCGAAAAGACAATAGTCCTTCTACATTTGTCTGTGACTAGGCACAAAGTGCTCTAGTCATAGACATGTGAATGAATTTGATGAACTCGATAATGAAAAACAGCCTCGAATTTCCCACAGTAACGTGCGGAATCATGCTTGGACTTAAGTAGCCGATAATAGAGAGGTAAACGCTGAGTGTTAATGCGTACCGTAATAAAACAAAATTAATGTTATACTTCAAAAATCCCATCGCAGAGTATGGTGAAAAAAGGAACAGCTGGATCTACGAACAATTTACTCAAAGCATATCCATTGATAAACACCTACAACAAACACATTTACCTTATAAATATAGTTTTCATTGACAAATACTATTATTCACTGACCAGAACAAGTTGAGATTGAGCGCCTTTAACTAATAAGAGACCACTTCACAAAAGGTAACATGCTAGAGTGAAGCGATTACTTGAAGGTCAGGGCGATCAGATTCCGATTAAGTTGAAACTACGCTCTACATATTTCTGTCTGAGCACCCATGTAATCTGAGTGGCTCCAAAACGAAGTGTAGTTCACAGCTCACAGTATACTAAACTATTCTTTGCAGGTAAGACACATATTTACGATAGTATGCTTAAGAGGACCTGATAAATAAATGGTGTTTGGATTTTTCTATGTAGTTATTGTTTTTTTAAATTTACTAATCGTGATAATTAACCTTATACCTTTTCCAGATGAGTAACTGGAACGAAACTTTGAAAGAAAATGTATACGAAGTTACTTGTTTCACAAGTAAAAAATAGAAAAGAGACTACGGATGCTTCATAAAAACATTAAATTCAGTAACAAAAGTATGACTAACCATGGATGACGTTTCATTACTAGTTGTCTTCACACTCTCCGAGATAGCACTGATTTGGGGTGAGATTTTATGACTTTCTTTGATCCCCAAAGGTGTTTTCGGAGATAATATTGGTGTATCCGGGATGATCTCCATGGGTGAATGAGGTGGTGTGCTGACGACAGCAGAAGGCTTAAAACAGATGTTTCGATAAATGTAAGCAAACAAATAATTTAATAAAATTTATTGGACCATTCGAAATGGATGTTGTCATAGATTGAAGGTATATACACTATAATTGCGTCAAGTATTTTGAGTGACTAGTTAGTCAGTCAGTTGTAGTAACGGATGAAAAGATGAAAAAACAACAGAACGTGGAGTAAATATTTGTCATATAGAAACTTAGTGCCGAAAATATAGCTGAGAAAGGAAGCGAAAATCTAAGAACAATATGCAAAAACATAATAATCATGATGTAATGACATTTTACAAATGTGGGGTGCTGTAAGCTGTTTTAAGCTACTAATGATAGGATACAATTACTTTGAAGACAAAAGCCAAGTAACCACGCAATAGGTACAGAAATATTTAGCAACCTTGAATGGTAGGAACCTCACACTAGAAATAACGCTGGGACGAATATAAGCAATTCTCAAAATGGCACTGCGAAATTTTAACCATTTATTCGTTTCAAGATAAGGTTAGGAATTAATGTTGAGGATTAAGACTAGGATTTAGGGTTAGGGGGCAAGGTAATAGACCAGGGTTAGTATTTTAAATCTGCTTTAATGTAATGATCTTATGAGCCCATACAGATGAAAAGATATCACGCAAGAGTTTAAGAGATGCAATCTGAAACCCAATTGGTTCATTCCAGTTTACTAATACCAAATCAACTGGTTGATGATTATATCGACTAATTGGGGCCAAAGCAAATTGTAGAAAATGGGCACAAGATATACAAATAAGCCTTCATAAACATGTTTGGGTAGACTGAGTATTTTTACCATTACCTATTGAACGGCGATGAAGAATAATACCTTACAATTTCCCTCACAAACCATTTTAGTAATGAGTTGATAACGACCAAAGAATTCATATCATTTAAAAGCTTACCTTAGCATTTGATTTTTTTTCAGATGATCCGAAGAAATCATCAACGGAAACTACATTCTTCTTAGGTTTCACAGACTGTGAGAAGTACGCTTCAATAGTATTTGCTTTCTTGGCACGAGATATTTTGCATAACTCTTGCTGTCGTCTTAAAGCGTCGATTATTGACTGCTGGGAGTTATCACGGCAGGATATTTGATTATCTAGGGGCTTTATTAGAAAGTAATTTGATACCATCGACGTCAGTGCACTTCCTTTTCTTCTCAGAATATCGTTTCGTGTTTTGCTTTACTGTTGGCTTTTCCTTAGTCTTAATTTCATCATCTTCTTTTGAATATAAACGGATTGGACATTACCTGAATCGGACTCACTGAAAACCACCCGCCGCTTCATCGACGTAACGTATTGTACGTAACAACCTTCAAATGGTTGTGGACGGAATAAAAGCTCTCGCTTAACAGGCTTCCGTATCTAGTAGCAGGGGATCACCAATACATCCAGGCAAGAACCCAGGTATATTAACGACAAAAGAGAAAAAAATGAAATTGGTAAATCATAGTAAGATACTATCGTTAGTCCTTAGGAATAGATCAAGTCGCCTCTTAAAGCACTCCTGGGAAGTTGCTTGGACTAGCTCAGCTGGCAGCGAATTCCAGCATTTGAAAACTCTTAAGAAGTAGAAGTTGTGCCTGTAGTCCTAGTACTGAGCCCTGGGGGACCCCACTATGATATTCCATAGCCTGTGATAAATTGAAGTTTATTTATTTATTTTTATTTTAACACATAAATATCGGTACAAGAAGGCACCAAATACATATGCGCCACACAGATCTCATTTGATATGTGTGGGGGCTGTGATACTGCCCGGGTGCCCAAACCGAAGCAGATGGTTTTCTTAGGGGGCCACACCCCGAGCCTTCGACCTGAAGATCTGATCCACAAGGCAGTGGAGCATCGTGAGGAGATGCAGTCCCATGGTAGCCGGTGACCAACGATTGGTTCATACGCCATTTGTTCCCGCAGGATACTGGAGCCCATGTGCACCATTGGTTTGGGATCCGGTTATAGCGCCAGACATTCGCTTTTCGTTCTCTCATTTTTGTAAACAACACCCCAGCCACGAGAAGGCAGTGAGTAGGACTTCCCTGGCAGGGGCTGTATACGCGTGGCCATATGAGAGCATTTCGAGAGGGGGAGCGGACTCCCCCCACTCTCGGCCGTACCAGGGCATTTGGAGTTTACCCTAACCTTAAAATGTTGATTTGTCAGATATGAACTAAGCCAATCAATTAGAGGCGGTTCAATACCTAATTGTCTGAGCTTATTGATAAGACATATATGGTTGACCCTATCAAAAGCTTTTGAGAAATCGAGGCAAATGATATCCACCTTCCCCTTGCGATCAACGATGCGTGTTCATCTGTCCACTGCAGTCAGCAGGTTCTTCATACAGGAGTAGCCCTTCCTGAAACCATGCTGTTGGGGTGAGAAAAAATTTAAGGACAGCAAATAGTCGTGTAATCCATCGTATATCAGGGACTCCATGATTTTTGGGGGTATAGAGAGCAGAGCCACTGATCAGTAACTTGACGGTTCGCTGCGTCGACCTCCTTTGAAAATCGGTGTGATATGAGCCAGCTTCCAATTTTCCGGTAGTTTGCCTTGACTTAGCGAGTGTGAGAACATCACGCTATGTGGTGTTGCAGGATTGAAGCTGCTTCCCTCAGTATAGCAGGATAGACTATATCTGGGCCAGAAGTGTCTGTTCTTAGATGCTGCAGTTTTCGGAACACCAAGTCAGCGCTCAGGTTCACTACGGAAAGTCCTGTGCAGTTACAGATGAAGCTTTCATCAGTATAGTTGATGTGGGTCGGTTGAAATGTCCGGGAGTATTGCTCAGCCAGAAGGTTAGCGGCGTCACCGTCGTTATCGGTCGGGCCGTTAGGACCTAACAGTTGAGAAACTCCAGTTTTGGATTGACGAAGAGAGGCTGCACAACGGAATCGGCTTTTCGGATTGGAGACAAATTTATTGATAAGCTTTATCTGGTACTGAAGCCTGTCTTCTCTTATAGCCTTCGTGCATATGTTCCTTATATGTTTGAATTGCCTGTACGCGCTGTTGTTGTCAGTTCGTTTGTATTCTGCCCAACAGTGCCTTTTACGTCTTAACAAACGAAGAGTGCGGTTCTTGATGATTGTATGTCGCCTGTACCCTTTGGGGACCGTTTGAGGAACTGACTGCTTTGTAGCACATAAGAGCGTGTGCAGTAAGAAGTCCCAATGAGCATTCACATCAAACTGAGGGTGAACATCCCAGTCCACCTGTTGTAGATAGTCCTGTAGAGCTGACACATTCAACCGTTTGAAATTCTAGCGCTTGTTGTTGTTGGGATATCTTAGCTCAGTTTTGCTGACAAAACTGAAGGCTATAACGGCGTGGTCGCTTTTCCCCAGGGGAGCCAGAATTGAGAGGTTGTCAACTAGAAATTCTTCGTTTGTAAAAACACAGTCTACGAGCGAAGGTGTCTGACTGTTCCTCCAACGAGTAGCCGACTTCACATTTTCGTATAATCCTCTATTAGGTTTCCGATGTTAAATGAACCAAACGTCAAACTTTACTGTAAAAACTATGTGAAGTAAATATCATCGTTTCCCGTTCAGCAAATCACTCTCTACGGTTTCGGTTGAATTCAATATTTATCGTGTCCCTAGAGCAACAAGGGTTTATTAATATAGCTGGACTATGTCTTGTACTTCATCCATTAATATTATTTTTCATGAGTATTAACCTGTTTGTGCTACCTTATCCCTTATCATCTCTGTCGATTACCTGGTACTTTTACTCATTTACTTTGTTACGTCTTAATCCATTATCTTTGTAACTAGTTGGTGTAGGCCAAACGATTACACTATACCAGTTTCTTGGTGCTACCGTATGGTACAAGGCTTTTGGGATTGTCATTGTCATTGCGCTTAAATAATCATCGAAATCTTGGCAATTACCACAAGACGAAGTTGCCTTGAGTGTAAAGGAATATGATTGTTTTGGGTGATTGGGGTTGCTGTAACCAGCAAGTACCATATAACCAAGTAGGACTATTCCAAAAACCTTGGACCGTACTGTAACACAAAGGAACTAACATGGAGTAGTTACATAACTCCACAAGTTGATTGATTTACACTAGCACTATGATCATTATCTTCATGATTGATGACCAAGGACGAGTGGATTAAGTAAGGATTAGAGTACAAATATTCTTGAATATTTTTTTTCGGTAATTAAATCCACTAACAAATACAGTAGTAATAAACATCTGAAGCATAAACGGACTGGATGGATAAGAATGGGCTGGAATAATAGTAGCATTAGACTACAACTGGAATTAAATCTCTTTGTTATTGAATTGGATTTATTTTGACACGGACAATAGAATGACCGAAAGTTGTATTGTAGTTTAATAAACTCAGAACTGTATTAGATTGGCCTAGTTCGCACTGCATTGAAATGAATGGTTCAAATGGTTGTGGATGGAATAAAATAGGATTTAGCTTAACAGGCTTTTGTGTCTAGTGGCAGGGGATCACCAATACCTCCAGGCAGGAACCTAGGTATATTGACGATAATAGAGGAAAAAAGGAAATTGGTAAATTATAATAAGATGTTATCCTTAGTCCTTCAGAATAGTTCAAGTTTCCTCTTCAAGAACTCCTGGGAAGTCGCTTGGACTAGTTCAGTTCTGCAGCGAATCCCAGCATTTGGCAACTCTTAAGGAGTAGAAGTTGTGTTTACAGTCTATCCTGTGGTGTTGCATCTTCAATTTCTGGGTGTTAACCCTGACTGTTCAAAGTGTCTAAAGTATTTAAACATTAATATAATAAAAGAATACGATCAAGAGACGGGTAGATAAATAAATAAATAGGTGAATGGATACGGAGATCCGAACTATGCTCGAGCATAAGTTAACCAATAGAACTGGACTAGAGCATTTAACAGCCACATGCTTGATCAAACATCGTACTCCAAAGTAAATATATAATTGTATTCATTAACGAAGTGTGTATTGAATACCATAACTTTACAAAGATATGAACACTGGACATTTTATGAATGATATAGGACTACAACGATTAATAGATCCATGTACTAGATACTAACTATTTCAGCGATTATTTAAAGCTTGCCATAGTGTTATCGGTTTCAGCACACTGGCTCATTTTCTCAAACTTCTTATTCTAATTTTTTGATGCTCTTGTAGTGACCTACTTTTGTCAACAGAACGCGATTGGATCGATGAAAACAATTATTATTATAACCAATTGTACCAGTGACTGTTTTACTGTGCTCATTTGTTTAACTGTGCTAATGACAGCCATTATACTTACTCTCCCGTTGACTTTGAACTTGTACGAATTCGGTTACGCTCAGTAACCACACTTGTACTCCTTTGGCACGATCTCGGTATTCTTTCGATACCACGAGATTGCCAACAAATACATCTCGACTACAGCCATCATCTGTCTTCTGATTTTTGGCCTACGGGGATCTTATTGGTTAATTGGCACGTAGTCTTGTAGCGGTGTTCATAGTCAAGCTCAACTCGACACCACGCTACACTCTAATCTGCTAGGTGTTACATCCACTGAATCCACACACAGTAGTTTTACACAATAGCCTTGGAATATATGGACATAATAAATGAAATTAATGAACTAGTTGCTATAACTGTCAAAAGTAACTGAATGACTCGGATTAATATTCGACTTCTCACTGTTAAATATCAGTAAAATCTATTTGTTCACTGAAATTGTATGCGTTAGCCTATAATATCAAAGTTTCGAAAAAGAACATTTGCGTGAAAATTGGTGCCATAATAATACAAATCAGTCTAGCAGTATAAAATGGACTGTAACCATTAGAATGTGTGATTTGCAGTTTATGAATGTGACATACGACAGAATGAATGAGTATGCTCAAAACATAGTAATCCATGTAAAATGACAAATTTTCGCTTGGAATGTGATCGGTGCTACGTTGCAAAACACTTTACCCTCTAAATAGTTTTTAAATGACCACGTTTTCGTGATATGCTTGTAACGCTTGATCACTTTCAGTTTGTCTGACGCACCTAGTTTATGCTGCTTGATCAATTGACTCCCAGAACGATTTCCAGTATATAAATACATTTTTGTTAGCTTTGTGAAGAAATCATTAAGTTCCACGTCTAGACTTCCATTAGTAATGGTGTGCATAAATGATCGGGTTCGCCATACACATTTCACAGCATACTCCCAGTAACTTAACCTAACAGCCAAATATTACTGAGGTGTAGCGATGAAATCCCTGTAGCCACCATTATCACCTCCTTTCGGCCTCTACATGTTTTCACTCATACCTTTCGCTTTAAGAAATGCTGCGTAAATATTCCAGAGATTCATTGATTACGTCCCAACTTCGTACATGCGTTTGTTGATGGATGCTTGATTGCGAGTCCAGAAAGAGGATCTCATTTCCAGCATCTGAACATTGTCTTCGAATGACAACGAAAGCATGACATTACTTTAAATATTTATAAATGTCAAATTGGCACCGATTCTATAGATTTTCTTGGACATACCATTGATGCTGAAGGCATCAAACCTCTAAAAAGCAAAGTGGTGGTCATTCTTTATTACTCAGAACCGACTACAGTCAAGAAACTACGCACGTTCAACAGTTCGATAATTTTCTATAGACGGTTCATACTGAACTGGAAGACTCTTATAAGACCTTAATCGATCAAATATGTAGAAATACGAATCAATTAGGACGATATCGTAGAAAAAGCATTCTCCACAGTTAAGTAACTTATCATCAGAGCAATAATGTTCATATATCAGGGTGTAGAAGCACTAATCAGTGACGAAATAAACTCATTCGACTCGGCGTTCGCAGGAATCTTACAGCAATGGGTGAACAACAGATAATAAGACACAAAAACTGTCCCTTAGTTTCATTCTGCAGTCACGATGCTCGTTCCGACCATGTTCATCTGAGTTTGGTAGGACCCCTACCGGATTCAAATAGACACTTTTACCTCTGAACTTGCATAGACCGTGGCCCACGTCTTCACCGAACGATGGGTAGCATTCTTCTGCTGTCCTTCAACTATCACAACAGACCAAGGATACGAGTTCGATACTGGATTTTTCCGCTGTCTAACCACACCATTTGGAATCACACGATTCCGAACGGCCACCTACCAATCACAAGCAAACGGGTTGGTAGAACGATTTCACAGACAGTTGAGAGAGTCACTCTCAGCTGCAAACGTTTTACATTGGACTGAATCTTTTCCACTCACAATGCAATGAAGGCTGGCGTTGGATACCCTGCAGTCCAGTTCATTTATGTAACGATACTCCAACTTCCAGGAGAATTCGTGAATTCTTTACTTTCTTCAATGAATATGGACCTAAACTCTCACGCTAGCAGGCTTACAAACTCAGTGTTAAACATGTTTCCACTCTGCTGCAGTCAACTGGTGTTTTCGTTGAACCTTCCTACGATTTAATGCACACGTCTTTGTACGTCGCTACTCACTTTAGCAACCACTCAGAACGGTGTACGAAGAACCCTTCAATGTCCCTGAGTGTAAAACAAAATACTACTAAATCGATAAGAACAGAGCTAGCGATAGCATTAACATCGATCACCTCAAGGTCGCGTACCTAGAAGGAAACCCTATTCATATCGATCCTCCTTTGGTGCTATCGAACGACACGTATCTCGTAATTACAATACCTTATACGATGATCGACAGTCACAAGGACACTTCGGTGGTATCCGGCAACCGACTTAAAATAAAGCGTTTTAGAAAACGAACATGGTTTCCAGAACACCTGAACGATTACCGCACGTAAGACACCACGTAACATTTTGCTTTATCTCGGCTTTTTGTATTACTGTGTCATGAAAACACCATTTTTATTATGATCATATATATTTTTTTACTCCAAAAACAATTCGTAACCAGAAAATCCTTCCAACCGTTGTGCATATTTACGAAATGTGTATGTATAAGTTTGTTTCCCTTTTTCTCCCGTTTTGTGCCTTTACACACACACGAGTGTAATCTCACATACACCTACATATCCCTTTTTCTTTGGGGATACAGCAGGAAAAGATGAAAAAACCGGCAAATATTACAACAAATCGAAATGTTTACCATACTTGTTTTTAAATACTACGATGTACCATATAGCCCCTCATAGTACGTAAAGATGACCAGACGCCGCTGAACAAGACAAGTTATCAGAAGAATGTTCACCAGTGACGATATTGTTGGGTCTAAACTTCTGAATGGCCACGTCTCAGAGTTATCACTAACCCATTGAGGAGAAAATGAGCAGAGCGGTTAAGAAATTCCCAAAACAAATTGTTTTGCAAGTGTTCAACACTTGGTGCTAACCGTATTAGTTTTATTGGATTCACATAGCTGAAGGCGCTCGGTCACGCATCCATACCAGATCACGAGTGGGTACGCCGTGCTACATATCTCTTTCAACTAGCCAGCTTATATCGAGCGTCCCTCGATATACATATAGCCAGCCAAATATATTTTTGAACTGCTTCATTTCTGACTCCTGATTTGACTGGGTCAGCTTACTCCGATTATAGAGGTGTTGTCAAACTCCGAATACTTGCGGCCTCTTTCGAGGCTCTTTAATTGTCATCTGACCAAAAACGAATGTCTCCGCGAACCTATTATGTTTGCATAATTAGACGGAGATACTCAGAACACATTCCCCATGTATTCTCACAGGGTATAACAAGAGAGAACAAGAATCTCCTTTACACTTCAAGCGGACTTACCGTAGTGACGAAAAAGCCCTTGTATGATTTAAGCCAAGATTAGTGTTAGTGCATTTATTTACTCTACTAGATTAATCGACGCAATCCAATATTATGGACGTGGCATTACATGATTACCTAACTTGTAGGAGCATACATAGAAGACATATAATTGTCAGACCGATTCGTCTCATTATGATAGTCACTAGTATGCGTTTTAGGAGCCTTTAAAGAGTGCACTTAAGGTGGTGGCAGAATAATATATTTAATATAAAAGGCAAGACGTTGCATAGAGAAACCATCTTTCTATGCCCAATTCATGGCGCCTTCACTAAGTGTCCCAGCCATCATCTTGTCTGACCTTCTTCAAGTGTTCAGCGTTCAATCGAAGTCTTTTTAGTTGTTGTGTGTTCAGCTTCAGGGATGGAGAGGCATACAATCAATGCAGCTACAGCTTCTAATTGTCATTTAGTACACATATCTGTCTCCAGGACTAGTCGAATGACATTAAACTTTGCGAGAATTATATTCGATATGCTTCGCATGTATTCCGTATACCAATCCCGTTACTAACAACGTCAATACAAAACGTCAACTATGAAAATGTTTAAAGAACGTGTGCCCAAGTCGTCAAATAATGCAGGTGAACGACAACTGACGGAAAAAAATATGTATAGATTAGAGTGATAGAGATCGCCAACTCAGTGGGTAATAAGTGACTCATTTGTACAAAGGCGATGAGAGAAGACAGGCTTCAGTACCAGATAAAGCTTATCAATAAATTTGTCTCCAATTCGAAAAGCCAATTCCGTTGTGCAGCCTCTCTTCATCAATCCAAAACTGGAGTTTTTTAACTGCTAGATCCTAATGGCTCGACCAACAACGACGGCGACGCCGCTAGTCTTCTGGCTCAAATTCAAATCTCTTGAAGAGCGCCTCAAATCACTCAACCTTTACCAATTGGAGTACAGGCGTCTTAGAGGTGACTTTCTAATGGCTTCCAGCTTCCTCAACACTTCCGGAAATCCCCTTAAATACCTACTAAAGTTTAGCTTCAACACAAAACCAAGGGGTAATACCCAGATATTGGAGACACAACACCACAGGACGGACTGTATATACTACTCCGGAAGAGCAGCCAAATGCAAGAATTCGCTGCCGGCTGAGCTTGTCTAAGAGACTCCCCAGGGGTTATTTAACAGAAAACTTGATCTGTTCTTAATGAATAAGGATAATATTTTACCATGGTCTACCAATTTCTTTTTCCTTTTATCATTAATATAGCTAGATTGCTGCTTGGAAGTACTGGTGACCCATTACCACTAAACACGGAAGCCCGCTAAGAGAAAGCTTCTTTTATTCCGTCTACAACCATCTGAACCATTTGAACATAAGCATCTCACCAGAACGTCATCACTACACTCCACGAATTAATCCATGAAAATCGCACATCAGATTAAAACCTCAGGTACACTTTCAGTTCTTTCCATTAAGAGTAGACCGCATTTGAAACGCTTTACTGGCCAAAGTGAATTCAGCAGTTTTAGCGAATAGCTTCAAGAAGAAACTTGACAAGTACATACTCACACATGGATTACCATCTCCTGCTTGAAAGAGATATACCTGATCTATGTCTCGTAACTTGCCTACTGTTATCATAATTACATAGTTGTAACGACTTCCTATCTCATTTATTATTATATCCATTTCCCCTTTTATTCCTATGCTTCAGTCTCCTCACACTACCACACTAATAAATAAACTTGTTTATTTACAACTTAAAACAGCTTTCCTCTCTAAGAACTCGAATTTCTACGTTAGTGTTCTTCACAGTGCAACAAACTGACCTCCTGGCTGTCAACTGGATAGCTACTGGTGTCCAGAAACTTTACTGCCTTGTGATAAGTGGGCTAACTAGGATTATGTGATATACGCATCCATAAACAGCTACTACCAAAATGACTAGAATAAGTGCAGTCAAAAGGTTATACTAACCCTCACTGGACACTACGAAAATTTGAGACCGTACCGAAGTAACAAGAAGCGAACGCAAAGAAATCAATCAGTATTTATGTAACGCATACGAAACTTTACGCTCTCAGTTTCTAGTCTCGACCATCAGATCAGCCTCATTTCATATTTGTAGCGTTTTTAGTTGTTGTCAATTACTTTGATCATTAGAGGTAATTCCATTCTATGTGCTTATTTGGTCGTCGGCTAACTTTTCATCTTTCAACTTTTTTCACATACTGCTCCTCACACTCCATCAGCGTTCAAGATACTTTTGGGCTGCGCGCAAATCTATCAAAGGCTGGATGTTATTCATGCAAGATCGTGACAAAGATATTGGACATATTGGGCACAATAACGGCCGACTGGTCATTGGGAAAGTACGAAGCCAATTCAAATATTTGTCTACTTTGGGGTGAGGCATTTATGAAACGTTAAGAAAACTTAACTTCCCATGCTGTCACTAGTACAGTCGACCTTAAACTAAGTGCAGCATGGAAAATAGATTTTGCGATTTTTCTGAGGTGCTTTCTTAATGTTTTAGTAGTTTATTATAGTAGTCGATAGTCCCAATTACAGATTATTCATGTATCAGTAGTAATAATCGTTAGTTGTATTTTCTTAAACTCCTAGGAACCTTAATTTTATTTGTCTAGGGAAGGAAAGCGTGGCTATGCAGATGTTCTTCCTTTTACACTCACAGGCCTATAGTGTCGATTCTAATTCGATTTCTTTAAGCTTTTCAAGAAAGGTGGTCATAGTCCAGATGACAAGAAAACATTTGTCTATATATTTTCTGTACTTGACTGGTGTCATTACTAACTGGTCTTATATCATGTCTTTGGTGTCAACCTTTCCTCAACTTCCAAACAGTTAAAGTTAGCTGTTGAATCGCAGTCTGTTGACGCTTGAAAGTTTATTACGTTTCACTAGTGAATTTAAATTTTCAACGTTTTATCCATGGACATCACGGTTTACAGCAGCTGTAATTTGGTAAGTACTCATTTCATGAGTATCAACTTAATGCATAGTGAAACTTCATTTGGTCGTGGTGACGTCAACATTTTCAGTGCGGAATATCAGTCATTTACGTTGCCGTTAGTTAGTTTCTGTTTTTGAAGCATTTATTTGGACTCCTCAAGTTGTTTTAAGTGCCTTTCAGTACCTTTATAAACTTTTGAAAAGTATAAGTGATGAAGTTTTTCCAACACACGAAGTAGTAAAACCTCAAGAATGTATTCGAAGAATTAGAAAAATAGTTTGTGGAGCATAACTGAGATATTCAAAATCATGATTCTGGTTCTCTAACAAAAATTAAACTACGAAGCCTAATAGTCCACAAATAATCAGACTGACCAAAGTTTTAAATGTTTGATGAATTATTGAAGCGAAAAGAATATGACAAAGAGTAGGCTATTGAAGCGATAAGAAATCACGTTCGCTTATTTTTTTTTTTTTACTTTTTTCATATCGATATGAAGTGTTAGATATGTGTTCCTTGATCACCTAATGCAAGTTAATGCTATAGTTATTGGTTCTTATCTGATCTAGGAGAATATTCTACACTGTTGTGTATATGGATCATTGGGCTGATTTGAAAAGTCGCTCTGTTGCTGATGAGTCAGCAACCTATAAAGTATCGCCACTACTAAAAAAAAACTTTTGTAGTTCTGCCAACTTACATTTCAACCACCACTAGTCGGTTCGAGTCGTAGAAAAGCCGAGGATAGGCAGAACACGTCATACCTAGTTTATGAAATGACTGATGGTTAACCTGAATTGTGTTTTAAAGTGTGGAATTTCTAAATGGGGTCACTGAGATGATAGATAATAGTTTTTACAGACCATACTTGACATAATTTAGGACTAGTCGTTATTTCACAAATACATTAACACACTTCCTTGAACTATATCTGCTTAATATTATAGCTCACCTACTAATTCTACTGTAACTAAGAAATTATGTAAGAATGCTGTTTAGACGGTGATATTCTTGCCATGTGTTTATGTAGTTTTGTATAATATTAAGTAAACTATATATTGGTTATTACTGTTCACAAATTTCCCAAAATTCGATGTTGTCTAACTTGAAGGCTTTGTCGACGAACTCAAAAACGATGAATCGTAAGTTACGAGTAATTGTGTTGAATTATGCCACTTATTCGTTATAGAAGTCAGTCAGTCAGCCATAACGTAGAACCAGGCACATATATTCATCGGTCCAGGTTGCCATACCTCATATAGAAGTTAGTCAATAATATTCAACTTAATACCTGGTACAAATGTACACTGACCCAAATTGCCATACCATATAACCACAACAAAATGAGATTAATAAGATCTGTAGCAAAAGTAGCCGAAATAATGTAATGATAATAATAATGCGAAAAACTGAACACTGGAAATATGATTCGAAAGGACTGGGTGGTAAAGTATGTATAAAAGGGTACTGGAATTCAATATCTAGATGACAACGAAGTGTGAATAGATCTGCTCCATTTTAAATTATTCTGTGCCATGTCATTCAGCGTCTCCAACCGCTGATCACAGTCATCGCACGGATCCCAACTAAATAGTTTTCATTAACATGGCTCAGACCAGCAGTCACTAACTTCATAAACTAATTTTATGTCTTAGTTCGGTAATCCTCAACCTTATCCCAGAGCATTTTGGCTCCAGACAATATTGTCTGTCGAAGTAGGTGGTGCGTAGACATGTCCTAGTCACCTTGACGATAACACCAACCGATTTGGTACCTTTACGTAGCACCTTATGTATAAACTCAATGTTACTTGGTTGTTCCACCAAACGTTATATCTTGTGGCCTGAGTGCCCTGTTAATGTATAACATAACGATACCACCAATTATCGATCTGACCAAGGACGCGTAAAACACGTATGAGCAGCCTAGAGTCCTGATTGGTCCTGCTTTCCGCCTAGCCCAGCCAGTTAAGTTCAGAACACCAATCTCAGCCTCTGCAATATGAATAATTTATTTCAGACATACGGGGTTTATATACCAATCAAACAGACCACAACGTACCATAAAATGGGAAATAAAATTTTTACAAAATTTGGCCAAATATGGCTGTGAATATGGGAGGCAGTGACAGGGCATATTTCAAGAATAGTACAAAGTATAGTAATGGTTCATAGGTCAAAATAAAGCTTATAATAAAAGGAATATGAATATGAATAGTTTAGTTATTTAACAATTATACGACAAAAATATACGTTTAGTATCATTCCATAAATGAATCCCAAGTTACTATTCATTATACTTATCCGGATCTAACAAACGTGAGCAACGTTCTATAGATACTTATGATCGAAAGCCGGCCTTCTTATGTCCTACTTTTTTAGACCATTTTTCCCAGCCATAAAGTAGAACAGAGCAGACATATGCGTAGTGTATACGTCCTTCGGTTGATTGATGGGTATCTCCATACTACATAAGTAATACACTTTGAAAAAGTCACTTGTGACATTAATTGTAAAATTCTGGATTATCTTTTATTTCATTTCTACAGAAGGCTACTACCTTGCAAAGAAGTCACTGTTTGTTTAAATATTACCAACATCTGTAATTTTACTGTTATTTTCTCACAGAAATTAGTCATTTATACTTGGCGCCTAGATCGCATACGAACTTACTCGATAAATGCGCTTATAAAGGTACACATATTAGTTCTAGTTGTGCACTGTAGACAAAAATAACTCCAGTGAACTGTATCACTTTACCTCCACCACTTTTGTTTGTGTAAATTGTACAAATTTCTAGCGTACTACAAACTTCAGCATTTTAAAATTCTCATGCACGTAGATATTTCTTGTATTATTTCAGACTTGCTTCACTGTGGGATCTTTTGGCAGCATACACCTGTCAGATACTGATTTCATGCTTCATTCTATTCGTAATTTCCTGTGGGAGAAATAAAAAAGCTAATTATGGTTTTTCATATACGTGAAATTACCAGCTTACTAGTAGGTTAAAACAAATTGTTTCTTGTGGTAATTCTTGATCCAATGTTTTAGTGTATCATGAAAAGTAGTTTTGATTATAAGTTGAATTTTTATCACATGTAAAGATATAATGGTTATTAAAGTGTTATAATTCACTGACCATGTTTTTGGACACATTTTCTTTCCATAGAATGAACAATTAACTACTTGGTATCTGATCAACAATGATAAATAGAAGGGTTGCCAAACAAGATATGCTTACTATTCTGCTTCTTTGACAGATTATTTCTGTACATTTTTCGTGCAAAAAAGTTATTGAGTGACTTGCCCACACTTCTACCCTACCATATATAATATTTTGCGTGTATGCAAAGGAATACTATTGATTTTAATGTATAGTTTATCTGGTTACTCTGTAGTGTATAGAAACAATCTTGTAATGGTGTGTTTAACATCCGTCGTAACTGCGTTAATTTCAGCCCATTAGATAGATCAATTATGCCTACCAACAGTCGGTTAGAATTATGTACAGGATCAGTCACTCTTGTATAACGAAGTCGTTAAGCATAGAGCGCGGAATCCATGATTCTGCACGTGGGAATCAAATCCAGGACTTTAAGCATCGCGTGCGAACGCCCAACTTCTGAGCTACTAAGCTCCATACTGGATTTTTTTAATTCTAAGAATTATACGCCTTTGAATTATCAAGTTAAAAATGTACCAAAATATTTTCTAATATGTTCAAAATACGTTTTATGGTTGCTCTTTTCAACATTTATTACATGTAGTTATCTTCAATATTTTAGAGTCTCACGTATTCTTCCTACTTACTGAATTGTGTTTTCATTCCAACTATTTTATTCTCGTTTTCAGGTAAAATATAGATGTGATTCATTCCTAAAACATAATTACAATTTTATTCTAACAAGAAGTGCTTCATCTCGTTCATTTAAAATACCGGAAACAAATATAAGATGTGATGAGCTACAACCAGAACCATCGAACCGACCAATTATGACATCAAGAAAACTTCAACCTCCGGTTTACTGTTCTACTTCTCGTGGTTCTCGATTAACATGGTTAGAAACATTGAAACCATTAGGCGTTTCAAAGTCTTCCAATTCCGAAAGTTTACTTGGTATGATCGATTTGCATCCAGATATATTTGCTGTATTTCCACGTATCGATTTGGTGCATAAAAATTTATACTGGCAAGCTCATTATCGGTTAATTGTAAGTTAATTAATAGTTGAAATCTTTTTCTTTACACGTGTATATACTTACCGTGTATTCACTATTTTTAAAGAACCGATACTTATTTCGTTAATGGTAATAGATGACTTTTGCCTTCGGTCTTCGTATTATATATCTAACTAACAGTCTGCCAAACCAACTTTAAGTTTGCTTTCATATTTTTTATGCTATTCGACTAATCTAAGGTTTCCTGTATCTGGGTTCTCACCTAAATGTTCATAGTTAACATTAAGATAAACCGTTGAAAACCAGAAAGCACTGGACAACTACTTCGTCCTTTTATAAGACTAAGGCTTCTTGTTGAGACCTTAGATCCTGGGTTCGATCCCTGGTGGGGTCGTGGATCGTAAATGCTGAGGAGTCCCATAATACGATGAAACAGTTTTCAGTGATTCCTGCTTTTCTCTGGTTATTTATCTAGAATTAGTCCTTAATATTAACTATAAAATTCAAGTCTCCAATAATCTGTATAGTGATTAAACTGTTGTGAAACAATTTTTAGTTCTTGTGACTAAGGTGAAATGTTATGAAGACGTTGATTAATTTTCTGTTTAATATGTAAGTATTGAATAAATGAGTTAATCATTTAATGTATGTTTTAAATGAGTTGGCGTTTTCTAAAAATATTTTTTCCTAGGATTGGCGTTGTATAACAACACGAGCAGAATTATCCTATGGGACTAGAAAAAAACCCTGGCCTCAAAAAAAAACTGGAAAAGCTAGACATGGTAATCGTCGTACTCATATATGGCTCAATGGAGGACAGTGTAAAGGTCCACGTGGACCAGAGTCTTTTTTCTATCTTCTCCCTTATAATGAACGCCTTGCTGGTTTATTATCAATGTTATCTATAAAGCATGCACAGGTAATTTTTGTTGCTATCGAAAGTAAATAATGAATTATGTAGATTTTTGAAACTGAAATTTCTAATTGTATCTGAGTTTATTTCCCATGTATAAAATAGTCCTGCATTGCAATGTGTAGGTGAAAGCATTTTGTTCATTTTATCATAGATATTTTGTATTATGGGAAAGACTATTCAGACATATTGAATGAACTCTTATCACACATGTTTTGGTGATTGTAAAGAGGAGAGAAAAGAAAAAAAGGTGCTTCGAACTCAGAGTATTCACAAAATGAACTCTGTTAATTGAAAATTGAATCTTGTACAGGATGCTGATGTTGATTTAAATTTCCCATTTTTAAATTGAAAACTTGTTCCTAAATTAATTGTTAAATTTAATCTTTTCATCTCATTCATTTCCTCCTTTAGAATGATTTACATATTGTGGATGATTTTATGCTTTCAAAAACATTGGAGGAAGATGCTAAAACTATTTTAACTGAAGCACAAACTGCTTCTCTCAACTTGAGTGATTTGGAAGATCCACTCTCTGCACTTAATAAAACACGTCATTATCGTTTAACTAAAACAATGAACGAAGCAGCAATATATATTCGTCAATTGGCAGATCTACGTTGTTGGGGTCCATCTATTTTATTTGTCGATGCGTAAGTGTAGATCCGCATTATATATTTATGAAGTATAGATCATATAAGTTAGTTTTGAAAGATTTCGTAACTGTAGTCAGCAAAAAGCTTTGAATCTAAACATCGTGCCGTTATTTTTTAAAATCCCAACTACGTTGCTCATCCGCATCACTGGTCGTGTTATTCTAAGTAGTGATCATATATTATTTCCTCATCTGATCATCTATCCCATGATTTAGAGGTTAATTATTACTTTCGTTACTATCTTGTTCATTTGTAGGTTATGAAAAATATAATGGTTTTTTAGATTGAAATACTCTTCTGAACGTTTGGATTTTTACCCTTTTATTAAGTTCTCGCTATTCGGCTTCTTGTAGGAAATTTTAAACCTCTGAATAGTTACTTTGGGACATTTTTGTATTTGTTAGCAGTATACGCTCTCGATTATGTTCTTAGCTACACTTTGGATTCTAATCGACTACTTCATTGGTATTGCACTAATCTCGTACATTTGATCGATTCTACCTGTTTCTGAGAAGTTGGAAGTGTCATCTAATTTATTTATTTGTAGTTATTTAGCCTGTATCATTCCATAGGGTGCTTCGTTGAGTTTTAACTCGAGGAATTCTCGTCATAAGGTATAGATCAATTTTTAAGCTTCATTGACCAGAAATAGATGAGTTACTTCAACTGTTTTATAGAATGCGATGTAACTGTGTTGATTTTATACCATTAAAGTTTTATCGATAGTAGTGCTTATCCTTATCCTGTGATGTCTCCTTTCTTTAAAATTGCTGTTTGAACCCGAATTTACAAGTGTTTATCACAATCTACACTACATGTTTCCCTCGTTAGGGTACTTGTATTTTTAAGTTAGAAATTTTTCCTAGTTCTTTGATAGCTAACTTCAATGTATCTATGATTGGTTAAGCTATCAAATTAAACATTTCTAAAACGAATTTCATCTTTCATATCAGCTCTTTATAGGAACTAAAGCAATTAACATTAGTTTACACATGATTCTTAGTGGATAAGTATGATGGAGTGAAGATCTATTACCAATTAGACTTCTCCAACCCTAATCCATTTTTTGGCCCAGTAACTAAGAATATTTTTCGATTTTATGATCTATATATATATATATATATATATATATATATATATATATATATATATATATATATATATAAAGTATTTTTGTTTTCAACAAAGCTTACAGCGTTATGTTAACATTGTGTATATCTGAAGAGTTATGTTCTGTTTGACTCATTTAGTGACAAGTCATTGATGACCGTTACGTAATATGGTGAACCGTTTGACTCAATTTTTATTTGTCCTTTGGAAGTCTGGCTAAGCAGTGGTTTATTTTTAGGCGTTTTTCTGTGTTTAAGAATTATGATGATAAATTAACATGACTATTTTCAAAAATTCATATTCTTTTGTAGTTTGTCAAACATCGTAAACCATAGAGTGACTGTGACACATGTGAATTACCGGTACTTATTTGTGCTGTAAAGATAGTGAACTATTTATTTTACAGCACTTGACTTTCACATACTGTGTCTCGAGTTCGAACAGCATAACACCTACGTGAGCGTAAGCAGTTTTTGTTCGTATCATTAGTGATCTCACGGAACAGCGTAGCTTAAAACCAATTGCACAAACTTGTAGGTGATGGAAAAGATCCATTATCTATTGTTTACATAGCCATGTTAAGTACACTTCGAATCTTTTGTTCACTCAGAAGAAAAAGTATATTCTTTTACGGCCAACACAAAATCTGAGAATTTCGATCTAACGTCGCCATACACTACCATGTACATTTTTTTTGGCATAATAGTATCACTGCTTAACCTACTATGTTCATGCATGTCTCATTCTGTATAATTGTCTGTTTATAGTATACATTTCACTGTTTAAAGTACTGAAGACTTATCCTTTCTAAAATATTAACTATTAATTTGTGTGTTAAAGTACTATCTAATCTTGATTTTTCCCACTAACTTTATATCTCTCCAGCACATATACTACCCTGCTTTGGTTTGGGCACCCGGACAGTATCACAGCCCTCACACAAATCTAATGAGAATTGTGTGGCTCATATATATTTGGTGCCTCCTTGTACCAATATCTATGTGTTCAAATAAAATAAATAAAACATATACTACAATTGGTTTAGTGCAAAACAAAACTGAACTTATATGTTAACCACTCAAGTGGAGAGTGACTATATTGGTACTTACAGGTTTCAAGATATACCTATCAATTTACGTTGGTGTAGATTTTTAATTGTGTTTGACCACTTTAAGTAGCCTTGATATTTGAAATTTCATATTATCGTTTCTTGATATATGTGACTAGTATAAGTAGGATGTTACTTTTATTTGTCTTTCCTTACTATTATAGCAGCAATTTGTTATCATTCATCATGCAAATTTTTTCTGTCTTTTTTAAAGACATTCTCCAGCAAGTCAGTTGGCGATTCCATGTCCTGGAAGCGAAAACATTGATAATAATAAAACAGACAACATGAACTTTAGTTATGATAATCTAGCAATTAGTTTGGCATGCGGTTCTTATGAAAATCATGTGAAGAGCGAGATTTCACCGGAGTCATCAGCATTCAAACTTGATTCTATCGCTCCACGAGCTACTCATCCTGGTAGAGGTTTAACATTAATGCCAGTTCACAGTTTAAATGTTTGGTCTATGGTACATCATGACACATTAGTCATATCGTTAAAAGCATTAGAAATGTTAGAAGAGAAACTTATCGCTGCCCAAACCGTTGTAGTTCGTGACGAGTACAGCGAGGCACCGTATTTGCATCCTTCAACTCCTGATTGGTTCACTGCTGAAGTGGATGGACAAGCAGATGACTATGTAAATAAATCATTTGAGAACAGACATTTTACTGATAATATAGGCTCATCAAAATGGCGAAGAGATACTCTTTGATTTGTCCAGTGTACAGTTATGATTTATATTATTTCCTAACCCAATACATCATAATGCTACTAGTTTTTTTTTGTTACCTGTTGCATCATGTAGTGGGTGTTTTATTCTGTGTTCTTTGACAGATCTTTTAATCTCCACGAGGAAGTGTGTGGTTGGGTATAATTATTTGTACTTCATTATGCCAGTTCGTAAAGCGAATATAATTAACTTCGTTGAAATGACTGTGATTCTAAGATATAAAATAATTGTCCCAAGTTCTAGTTAGACTTGTGTTGCGATTGACCACCATAGGTATAAACAGTTTCCATTTAAACATAAAAATACATTAAGTTTAGCGAAGGGATCTCTTTCCAAGGAATTTGTTACCAAGCTGTACAATCGTGTCGATATCAATTTTTTAAAGAATTTCCTGAGGACATATATAAATAATGAATAAACATGATGATTTCATGGATATTTTATAACGTTAGGTTTTGTAGTGTAAATAACGAAAAATTGTGTGTACAACTAGTGAACCTTTTAGAATTAATAAGTTATCAACAGATTATGATGTGAATGAATGATTAAAATGGTTTTGTAAAATAATAAACAGGTTAAGTGAAATTAGGTGATGTCAAAAAGAAATAATTAAAAAAGAAGGGGATATTTTCATATACGAACTTTTACGATAATGATAGTTTAGGGTCACGGTAAGGATAAGATGTACTTCTTCTGTAATCGCAGTTCTGGCTTTATCTCATGGGTGGCAATAGCTACTGTTTTAAGGATTTGGATACGAAGAAACTTTGGGTGAGTTGTATGGTCAACCTGTGGATTGATGGAGTAAATGGGATCCATTAAATATATAAGAATGGGTCTTCTAACTGCTTTACTCTCATTCTTGCAGAATTACACTGGGACATTTACTGGTATCTGTGTTGGAAGTTAATGCTGGCTATGGCATATATATTTTACTCAACAAGAGCAGGTGAACTGGTAGATGCACATAGAGGTGATAAGACGAGGGGACTCATCCTTTACGGATACAAAAAACAAGTTTCTATTGTTGAACGTTATTCTCGGGTTTGATGCATAGAATGTCCTTTTTATCCCCGTCGTCAACGGGTTTTTGAACACGTCGGAATTTCGGCCACCCTTGAAGTCTAGATCCATACAAAGACATTTCTTTGGAACAAGGATCCCAGCTTCCTTTCATGTTCTCTACAAAGCGGCCTGGATAGTCATTTTCAGCCAACTTTTCTTTGAGGAACGCAAGTCCTTCAGCATCTTGGATCTTACTTATTCGGTATCATAAAGAGTGAATAAGATTCCTCTTTCTGCTTAATTTCAACTAAGCTGTAAAAGTTGAGCTACTCATGTTTCTTTTCTACAAATGGACCTTTTTAGGGACCCATCACTCCTCGCTTAAATGACCAGCCCAGTAGAAATTGGGTCAGATTTACTTCTAACAGTTCTGGTCAATATTTAAACATCGTAGTTGAATTATAAAACTGGTTCTGCATTCCCCAAATCCACTTAGTTTCCTTCATTTTTCCGATATAAATCGCACTCACTATGCTCTGCTGGTTTTTATAATCATTGTATGATGAACAAAAGCTAAGCCTAGGGTTAGGTCTTAACTCATGCGCAGGTGAATAACCTGTAGGATTAGATTCTTTCAATCGTTCATGACATTTATTCATGTTATTTCCCTATTAATAATTTATACATTAGCATATTATCTTCTTAGACCAAATGATTTTTATTTTTACTGATTTGGTGTTCTCTTTTCCGATATCACTTTATTTGGAGATTTCAGTCAATATTCCTTCCTAATAAGCAGTCATCATTCAGTCACATCGTACCAGTGTATTACGTCTGCCAATCGGCACTAGATCCATTCACTTAAAATGACATCGTATATGGAAAACGATCATGAATTGTATGATCTAAAGTTCAGTTGAGGCATGAGGGCGATTTACGATAAAGAGTCGATAAAGTAATAATTATCAACCAGGTTTTGGCACGATCAATAAACTTTTATACATGGGTTATTGAAGCCTATGTCATGAGCTAACATCAGTTATAACTCAAGTATGAAAATTACCTAGTAATCCGATAAGTGTGTTCATATACTTCAGTCTGTACATTTGACATCGTATTTTTGGGTGGAAAAGAAGTTTCCGTATAGTCAGATAAGCTTAGTTGATAATTTCTGAGTCAGTACAATATTTCGAAACATCAATAGCATGCGACAAAATATTGTAACTAGTAATTTCCAGAGCAAATCAGTACGTGAAGAGAGCTGGAAACAGAAAAATGAAGTAAAAAGTTTGATTCTGGTCAAGTCGGACTCTGTTTATTTACGACAGCTTCGAAAGACTTGATTCAAGGAGGTTTCGTCTGTCCTGGTAAGCAATCTGTAAAGTCTCTCTGGATGATCACTAATCAGCTGTGCGACAGTTCATGATTAGTTTGTTATCAATGAACTAGATCGTCAAATGAGGCGAAGGAAGGTGGAGGTCTTCAATATGTTCCGACAGATACGTGAAGAGGATATTGTGTTGGCACATCGTGGATCCACCTGTAGCGTGGTGTCGAGTTGAGCTTGACTATGAACACCGCTACAAAACTACGTGCCAATAGACCAATAAGATCCCCGTAGGCCAAAAATCAGAAGACAGATGATGGCTGTAGTCGAGATGTATTTGTTGGCAATCTCGTGGTGTCGAAAGAATACCGAGATCGTGCCAAAGGAGTACAAGTTTGGTTACTGAGCGTAACCGGATTCGTACAAGTTCAAAGTCAACGGGAGAGTGAGTATAATGGCTGTCATTAGCGCAGTTAAACAAATGAGCACAGTAAAACAGTCACTGGTACAATTGGTTATAATAATAATTGTTTTCATCGAACCAATCGCGTTCTGTTGACAAAAGTAGGTCACTACAGGAGCCTCCCGCTAGAAAGGGTTTACACTTTCGATAGTTAGCGGTTTGATTCGTGGGACTGATCGGCAGAAATGCGGTTGTAGGACGGAGGAAATCGGCGGAACAGGAAGTGATCGTTGATCCTCGAGTTGCCAACGAAGGTCTTTTGCGCAGAACGGTACCAGGAGAAGTGTGCTGTATTTGTTGGTCGAATTAGCATACCACACCAGAGTGGTTTGTATCCAGGATCTGAAGATCGCGTTCGTAGGGATGTGGACCAGAAAACGCTGCAGACGTAGGACGAAACCACGTTGAGCCAAGAAACCGGACGCGACCATAACGACCAAGCGTATGCCAGGCGAATTCGAGACCAGATAATCGACTGAGTGCGTTGACTAGAGCATGGGTGGCCAAACCAGCTTTGGCCAAAGTTGACTGAAGTCGACGTTATCAAACGGGCGATGGTCAGAGGCGTGGGCTCAGGACACAAAAAAATCAAAAAAAGAAAAGTGTAGCCTGCGTGTAGTATAGGAATAATCCTACACCGTATCCGTTATTGACTGTGCGTTTAGTCGTCCGTAGATGGTGCAGATGACGCGTGCTGTTGACCGGGACGTGAGAACGAGGTCTCTGATGTATCTAGCGTGGGATACGAGGTAGACGTAGAGATCCCGCTAGAAGGTTTGATAGGTCTAGCATTGAGTCTCAAGTTATCGGGTAGGGCACTATCATCGACGTGTGCTAGTTTGAGACGATCAATGCTGACGATCTCGACGCGTCCATGTCTATCAACCTTGAAGGTCTTTTCGTGACGAGAGATCACGTGAAAAGGGCCTTCGTAAGGCTGTTGCAAAGGTTTGCGTACCGAATCTACTCGTATGAAAACATGTGAACAGGTAGATAACTCTCGAGGGAGAGCGACCTGTCGATGTTGTATTCGAGTTGACACCGGAGACAGCGTTCGCATGAACGCAGACAGTCGATGGACGTAGTCTGATTTACCGAAATCATTACTGCTCCGTGGTGTGAAGAATTCCCCAGGCAGACGCAATGTCGTGCCGTATACACGTTCAGCGGCGGAACATTGAATATCTGCCTTCAAACTCGTTCTGATGCCTAAGAGAACGAGCGGTAGGGTTTCGTCCCAATTGTCGTTTTCGTGTGCTCGAAGAGCACTTTTAAGTTGACGATGAAACCTTTCGACTAAACCATTCGATGCTGGATGGTAGGCGGTTGTGCGTATGCGTTCCGTACCAAGCAGCCTGGTCAGTGAGGAGAATAATGCGGACTCCAATTGTTGTTCTCGGTCAGTCGTGTCAGTCGAGGGACAACCGTACAATGCTATCCATCGTTCTACGAAGCGGTGGGCAACTGTCTCCGCCCTGATAGACGTGATGGGAATAGCTTCGGACCATCTTGTAAAACGGTCAATGCACGTGAGTGTGTGATCATACCCATGCGATGGTGGCAATGGTCCTACAATTTCTATATGAACGTGATCAAAGCGAGCATCAGGCGTAGCGAACGTGCCAATGGGAGCAGCTACGTGCCTGTGCACTTTTGATCGTTGACACTGTAAGCATTGCTTTACCCACATACGAACATCTTTATTCATGGACGGCCAGACGTATCGTGCAGCGATGAGGCGTAATGTGGCTGCGATACCTGGATGAGACAATCCATGAAGGGCATCGAAAACGAGACGGCGATAGGCAGAGGGTACGATGGGTCGAGGAAGACCGGTAGAAATATCACATAGGATAGTACCTGAGCTAGTAGCTAGGGGTACTTCCTGACACTGAAGGGACGAAGATTGTGGTGCTTCTGTACAGACAGGATCGTTTGATTGCGCGACCGCCATAGCAGGAAGATCGAGCACCGGTAAAGTAACTGCATTAGTCTGGATACGTGAAAGAGCATCGGCAACATAGTTCGACTCGCCTTTAATGTGACGAAGGTCTGTCGTGAACTGTGAGATATAGTCCAAATGTCTGCACTCTCGTGGTGAGTAGCGGTCAGACTTGGTATGCAGGGCATACGTTAAGGGCTTATGGTCGGTGAATAAAATGAATTCATGTCCTTCTACTGCGTGCCGGAAATGTTTGATGGCGCAGCAGGCTGCAAGCTGTTCGCGACCAAAAGCGCTATATCTCGTC